ACAGGTGCTCCCAGTAACTCTCGAAACAGTCTGTTCTAGAATTTTCTGGCCCCAGTTTGCAAGTTTCTGTTTGCCTGCCTGCAAGTTTCTGAATCTGTTTTCCTCCTTCCCATCACCACATCCATCTCTCCTGGGGCCCGGGTGAAACAAACCTTCCCCGTCCAATGAACTTTGCCCTCTCCCTTGCACCCTAGTCAGCAGGATTGCCAAACAACAACCAAAAAACAAAGAGGCTGGGAAGGCAATTTATCAAGCCCTTCTCTTGTGTCAGACGGTTACATTATTAACTCAGAACAGCACTGTGAGCGGATATTAGCTCCGTTTGACAGGTGAGAAAACTGAGTCTCCAGGTACATAATGTCAGAGGTTACACGTCATGGCTAAGAAGACAAGTCCCTGCATCCCAGGGAGGGGGCAGACACATGGGAGTCCCTCTGGAGCCCAGAGGTTCAGCAAAGTATTAGAGGGCCCAGAGGGGCACAGAGCAGAGACAGGTGACCCTTGACCTGAATCTTGAGGGACGATTTGGATTGGCCAGGCGGCTGCGGGAGGGGATGAGCTGGCAGGTGGGGGGCAGCCAGGGAGCCCCTGAAGGGCCTCAAATACTGAGCTAACGATCTGGACCCTTAGCTTGTGGACACTGGGACCCCCTGAGGTGGGGTTGTGGGGTTGGCAGGGGAAAGTCGGGGTCAGTGACTGTTTTAGAGACATCCCCCCTCCGCCCAGTGGCAGCGTGGATGGTGCACTGGGAGTACTGGGGGCTCCAGGACCCTGTTGTCATTCCGTGAGAGGCAGGGAGGCCCTCCTCTCAGGCAGGTGTCCATTCACTCCTTCCCCAAGCATTTACTGAGCGCTAAGAAGTCCCAGCCACTGGGGATCCACTGGTGAGCAGGAGAGGGCAGTCCCTGCCCACGGTCGACTCGTGGCTCACAAGCTATAGCTGTGGGGACCGAATGGAGAAGACTGGAGGAGAGAGATTAGTAGCGTTTATTGAACACTCACTGTATACCAGCCACCCTACCTCGTTTCACTCACTGAGCTCTCACAGTAACCCCACGGTCTAGGCAATGCCATTAAGCCCATTTTGCAGTTGAGGCACACTGAGGTGGCCCCCGCATGAAGCAAGCCATACTCTCGATACAGACACGAATACTGACCCATTGGCTGAACAAGCCAAGTCTTCCCTTCCAGGGGCGCACTCACATGGTCCACAACACGAAAGACACCCTAGGAGCCATGTGAGTCTTGTATGAGATCTCAGCTCAGCACAGTGAGCCCTTTTCTTAAGGCCGGGGAAGCAGGGAGGGCTTCCTGGAGGGGGTGCTATTTCAACTGTCACTAAGGGAATAAAAAACCTATCTGTGAGGGGTGCCCGGGAGGCTCAGTTGGTTAAACGTCTGACTTCAGGTCATGGTCTCGTGGTTCCTGAGTTTGAGCCCCACATCAGGGTCTGTGCGGTCAGCATAGAACCCCTTTGGATTCTCTGTTCCCCTCTCTCTGTGCCCCTCCCCGACTTGTTCCCCCCTACCCCCACCCCCCGCCCTCTCTTTCTCAAAATAAATACACTTAAAGGAAAATCTATCTGTGATTTACCAGTTCAGGAACACTGCATATTAGCTTGGTCTGACTCACAGAGTATTTAAAAACAATTTGACTTAAAGAAACAAACAATTTGACTTATACTCTGGTTTTTCTTCAGATCCTAGAAGTCTTTTGCCCTTGACTAAAGATCTCTGTGAAGAGGAACAAGTCTGAGTGTTTACCCAATTTTTTGAGGCAAAAACCAAACCAAAACCAAAACAATTTGACTTACCCATATTTTAAGATGTTGAGATTTCATGCAGAAGTTCAGGTTTCTGGCTTCTTCAGTAAAAGTAAGCCTGGCTGCAATTTAAAAAAAAAAAGGGGGAGGGGGTGGTGGGCAGGAGCCTGGGTGGCTCAGTCGGTTAAGCGTCTGATTTTGGCTCAGGTCATGATCTCGTGGTCCATGAGTTCAAACCCCACATCAGGCTCTGGGCTGACAGCTCGGAGCCTGCTCGGATTCTGTGTCTCCCTCTCTCTCTGCCCCTTCCCCACTCACTTTCTCTCTCTCTCTCTCTCAAAAATAAACATTAAAAAAAAAGTTTAAAAATTTTAATTAAAAAAAAGAAAAGAGAAAAGTGAGCCCGGCCGCCCTGATCACCACTTCCCAGGTGGCCATGGGCTGGAGCCAGCCCTGATGACCCCATTAGAGACTGCAGCCTTCCTGCTTCTTCTCTACCGGGCCACGCCCCCTGCATCACTACCGCGCCTGCCCGGAGCACATGATCCTCCGAGGTTGGGATGACCATTCCCACAGGAGTGGGAGGAAGCCAAGGTCAGGGTCAGAGGGGTGGAGTGGGTCTAGTAATGTCAGCGGTGGTTCAGCTACCCCAGACCCCTGGGAGAGCGGATCCCAGCCACAGGGAACAGCATGAGCAAAGACAGAGACGAGCAGGCACAGACTCTTCAGGGAGCAGAATGGGGGTGTGAGGCTGAGATATCATGGTGACAGTGGGGACGAGCGCTGCCCTGGCTGCCATTGCGCCCTTAACCCTGAGCCATCTGAGCCATCCCACAGGACTCTGGGACTGTGTTTTTTAGACCAGGCTCTGTCATCAAGTAACTGAGTGGCTTTGGGCAACTTGCTTAAGCCGCTTCAGCCTTGAGTTTCACTCCTATGAAATGGGGATGGTGACAGCTGCCCTTCTCATCACAGGGAGGGGCTGGGAGAAACCCCATCATGTATGCAGACAGGTCAGCTTTGCCCCCTTGGGAAAAGGAGGGGCTGTTACTACTTAGATGATTAAAAGCCCCGCTTTGCGCCTCAATCACTCTTAGAGCCACGGTCCCCTCCAACAGTGGGGCTTCCTTCAAGAGTCCCCGGGGTTCCCTGGCCTCCTCCTCCCGCCTCCTGTCCAATTATCTCTCCTTCAGGACCCTGGCTTCTGCCCACCCTCCTACCATCTTCTCCTGCCCTCCAGGGGCCCAGCCAGGCAGCTCCAGAGCTAGGGAGGGCGCTCAGGACAAACCCGTCCTGCCCCAGGACTTTTCCCCTCCTCCCTCCCTCGCTCTACTCTCTACTCCAGCCTCCACACTCTGTCCCCTCAGCCAGTCTGTTCTTCCCCAGGGCCTGCAGGCTCACTCTCTCTTTTCCAGGCCTTTGCTCAGATGTCACAGGTCAGCGAGGCTTTCCTGACCACCTTATTTCAAATGTAATGCCCTCCCACACCAGCCCCTTCCCGGCTTCATTTTTCTCCTTAGCACCTCTCACCAGCCCACATACTCCATATATTGTTTATCTATCTTGTTTGGGGTCTGTTGCTCTCCACTGCAGTGTAAAGCACCAAGAAAGCAGAAGATTCAATCTTTTCTTTGCTAAGTATCCTCAGCACCGCCTACCTACAAGGTAGGGGCTCCGTTGAGTATTTCGTGAATTGAATTGTCAGGAGTGCGACCAACCATGAGTTAGCTCCAGGTTTTATTGTTTGGTGGCGGAGGGGGGCTAAAGACCCCAGGGCCCTGTCCTGAGCTTCAAACTCACACCAGATGTCTAACCCACCCCAGGCTCAGAGTGGTCAAGTAACTTTCTCAAGAGCACACAGCCAAGAGTCGCTAGAGTCGGATATTGACCATCGGTCTCCCTGCTCTCTGTGTTGCTCGTAGTAATGGGGATCAAGCTGAAAACTCGTGATCCTTGTTACTAAACTATGTTTTCACCCATTCCATCCTGGGTCAGGATGCCCTAGTTCAGGGGCTATCTCTTCCACGGGTCAGCAGGCTTCTCATCTCAGAAGGAGGCACATTTTATTCATGTTACCCTCTCCCCAGAGCCCAGCACAGGTACATGTGAATGTCCGAGTGAATTAGTGAATGAAGATGTTCTGTGGTGTCAGAGGACGTCAGGCACACCAGGGTTTTAGTCTTGGCTTTGCCTCTGACTAGCTGTGTGACACTGGTAAGTTAATTGTCCTTAGTTGCTGTGAAATGAGGATCTTGATACTTAGCCCTTTGGGTTACTGTGTCCTGATGAATGTAAACATTCCGGAACAGAAGCTGGCACATAGTGCAAAATAAATATTAGCTTAAAAGGGGGGGGGGGGGAAGACTAAAAAAAAGAGAGAGTTGTGCATTTTGTGAGTGAGTTCTACGTCAGTGGAAGCGAGCAGGTGGAGGCTGAAAACGCCCGGACATTTCATTTCATCCGCACAGGTACTACTACCCTTCCCATTTTACAGATAAGAAAAGTGAGGCACAGAGAATTTAAGTCTTCTAGCCCGACATCTGGGTCAAGACCAGCCTAGGGAACTGTAGAGGGGATGCATCGACGGGAAGGAGGTCAGAGGGAGACAGCCCCGCCAAGTGCCAGCCCTCTGATGGGCCCCCTGGGAACCCAGACCCAGCAGCTCGGGCTAAACGTGCGGCCGGTCCCGCGCTCGGAGGCTTCTGGGCGCCGCCCGCCTCCGCCCCGCCCCTTGCCCTCGGGTGGTCCAATCTCACAGCCCTTATGTAAATGAGGCACCTAGAGAGAGCCTATGCGCGAGCGGCAGGGGAGTGGTCTTCGTCCACCTCCCGGGCAACGTTCTGATTCATTGTTAAAATAGGAGCTGTGACCCCGGCATCCCACCCGGGCACCTCCTGTGCGTGGAAACCCGAGCCGAGGTCAGTAGTACTGCGCTGCGGAAGGGGGGGAGGGGAGCGGGGAGAGGAGGCCGGTGGGGTAAGGGAGAGGGGCGAGGCATACGGAGAGGGACTGGCTGACCCGCTGGAGAGGTCCAGGAGTCCATTCTCCGGGTGGGGCATGAGTGTCCGCTGAAGGTTTCCCATTGTTACAGCCACACCTAATGTGCATTTTTGAGCATTCTGCCAGTTGGTTGGGATTAAGGAGGAGGAGGAAGCGGGAGCAGTGAGGGGCACACGGAACAGAGCCCCCATCCGCCCCCAGGAAGATGAGCGGCGTATTCCTTCTCAGGCGATGCTCCTTTATATGGCCAGACCAGGAAAGAACCGCCCAAGCTGGGCGGAACCGGTTCGCGCCCCCTCCACCACTGGGGCAAGGGACGTCTCCGGGAGATGATGGCCCAAGAAGGATCGAGGGGCAAGTGGGTACCCCCCTCCAAAACACACATACACAACGGGCCTGCCACCTCCCCAGGTCTGATGGTGGAGAAGCCAGGAACCTTCAACCTGGCTGCCCCAGGGGAGGATGAGAAATTCCGCAGCCCTCAGCTGAGATTGGCAACCAAGGCTTTATTCCCTGGTAGACTTTGCAGGAAACTTGCCAGGTGAGGACAGGTGTGTGGGCTGGTGACCTGGGGGCACCGCAAGGTGCATGGGATTTGGGGAGATGGGTTCCTCTTCTGTCCCACCCTCCTCCTGGGGCTCTGTGTACGTGAGGAAGGGATCTTCAAGTCACTCTCGTCGGGGCATCCCCCCTTCCCCCCTCCCAGGGCGTGGCATTGGAGCTCTCAGTGGCCTCTCCCAGATGGGAGAGCTCTGTGCTCAAGTCAGAGCACCAGTTCAGCTCCTGGGACCTAGAACAAGGTATGGACCCTTGGTGAGTCTTCGATGCCTCATCTTAAATTGGCATTGGCTTTATCTACAATGTAAGATAACCGTGAGAAAAGGCACTCGAACTTTAGGGTGTGCTGAATCACCTGAGAGACTTTTTAACAATGCACAACCCCAGGCCTCACACCTCCAAGAGATTCTGACTGGGTGGATCTGGGGAGGCACTTAGAATTTATACATATATATATGTATGTATATATATATATATATATATATATATATATATATATTTTAATTATTTTTTTTTTTTTTTTTTTTTTTTAAGTAAGCTCTGTGCCCAGCATGGGGCTCGAACTCACAACCCAGAGATCAGGAGTCACATGCTCCACTGATTGAGCCAGCCAGGTGCCCCGGGAATATGCATTTTATGAGCAGCTCGGCTGAGTCTAATGCAGGGTCCTTAGAACAGACTTTGAGCAACACTGCGGTAATGACTAGAAATCACATGTCTAAATGCGTGGCAGAGTGCCTGGTGCTTAGTGGGTGCTTCAGGAGTGTTTAAAAAAAATTTTTTTTAATGTTTATTTATTTTTGAGAGAGGGAGACAGAGTGTGGGTGGGGGAGGAGCAGAGAGAGGGAGACACAGAATCCGAAGCAGGGTCCAGGCTCTGAGCTGTCAGCACAGAGCCCAACGCGGGGCTCCAACCCACGAACCGTGAGATCATGACCTGACCTGAAGTCTGACGCTTAACCGACTGAGCCACGTAGGCGCCCCGGGAGTGTTTATTGAGTGAATAAATGAATGGATGGATGACCTTATTTCCTCGGTCCTTGTCTGTCTAGGGGCAGCTGAGGCCGGGTTCCGGGTGGTCCACCAGCCAATTACCTGGCCCTTGCCTGCCCCCCTTTCTTCCCGGTGGCCACCATCGGATCGCAGGAGCTGCCGTGGCCTGACTCAGCCAATATGGAGGGGGGTGCTGGGACTGTCCCCTGTGAACACTTTGAGGCCAACGTGCTTGCCCAGGGTTGCTGTCAAAACTGCTTTCACCCCGAGGAGGCCCACAGAGCGAGGAGCCAGGTAGGCCAGCTTTCCTGAGCGGGTGTGGTGTTCTGGGATGGGGATGTTCATGACGGATTGCCCCTGGCTGGGCCACTCACTTGCGGCCGAACCCAGACACTGGCCTTCCTCCTGGGCAGAACCCCGGTTCTGCCGTCTGTTCCACGAGGTGCTGGGACCACAGTACGTTTCCCAAATGTGAGTCACTCTCCTCCTGCTTTTATGATTTTTTTTTTTTTTGCCATAGCCTCATGCAATCTAGTACTTACTTTATTGCTCTTTAAATAAACACCCTTTTAAACTTTATATTGAAACACAACTTTATATCATCCCTATAAATAGAAAACCGGGATCATATCCTTTATATAGAAGGTTAAAAAGGAAGAACGAAAAAAAAAATCTGAAACGTCTTTAAATTCTAACTAGAGAGTCTTGTCGGCTGAAGGCCGGTCCTGAGCCTGAAGCTTGCTGTCTCTCTGTTACAAAGGGAGAGTGGCGGGTGTTAGGGAGACATTAAAGGCACCCCAGCACCCACAGGAGACTTTCTCCTTGAAGGTATTGAAGGAGCGAAAGGGACTGTGTTTTCTCACTTGGCAATCCATGTGGTCTTAGGCCAAGCCCCGCTACACGTAAACCCAGAGCCCTAGGAGAAGCAGGGGACCTGTGAATCTCCACGGACCCCCTCCAGCCTTGACCCCGCCTGCCTCCGCCCCCCTCCCCCCGCCCCCATGGCTCCATCATTCCCAGAGGATCCCGAGGCTCCTCTTAAGGCTGGCAGCCGGTTTACGCAGGGCGTCAGGCTCCACGAGGTGGCCATTATAAGGGAGTTGCTGTTCAGCTTTGAAAGCAGGCAAGACAGAGTTCCAAACCTGGGTTTGCCCTTTACCTGCTGTGTGGCCTGGGGCCACTTACCCTCTCTGGCTCCACCCTCCTAATGGGTAAAGCGGGGCAACAGGGCGTTCTCACTCAGGGCATCTGGCACCGTGTAGCCCAAGTCACATGTGGTTAATTCAATACACATCAGTTTCCTCTCTCCCGCCTTCCCGACCCGAGAAGTCAGTCTGGAGGATTCTTTTCTACCTGTCTTGACACCACCAATAACAGCTCTCTACCCTCAGCCCCAAGTTCAGGGAACATGCCTGAAAGCCCCGTGGGTCTGTCTCTGAGGCACATGCCCTTCCCCAGCGGCTGGGGAGATGGCACGTGTGGGAACAGGAGGAGAAGCTTGGATACAGACAGGTCCGCATTCTAGAGTCAACCCAGCCACTTCTGGGCTGAGACCTGGGGCCAGCTCACGTGTTCACACTGTTCATACTGAACGGGTGCTTAAAAGGTGCCAGGCGTTATGCTACCCGAGAGTATGCAGAAGTGGCCCCAGGTCCCAGGGCAACCCTCTCCCTGAAGCGTACTGTAGCTCCCCTAGGAACCTGGGTCCTGGATGCCTCTGTGCTCTGCTCTCAGCTGAGCTTTCTATATAGGCTGAGAGATGGGGGAGGGATTATCCCTGGAAATCACATGGGCCACCAGATCAAGGCCAGGGTCTGCCCGGAGGGAGGTGGGAGGGTCCTGCTGTCTGCCAGGCACACACATCTCTTTCAATGTATTTATTCTTTTTTTTTTTTTTTAATGTTTATTTTTGAGAGCGCGCGAGAGAGACAGAGTGTGAGCAGGGGAGGGGCAGAGAGAGAGGGAGACACAGAATCCAGAGCAGACTCCAGGCTCTTGAGCTGTCAGCAGAGACCCTGATGCGGGGCTCAAACTCATGAACGCGAGATCATGACCTGAGCTGAAGTCGGACGCTTAACCGGTTGAGCCACCCAGGCGCCCCTATTCTTTTTTTTTTTTTTAAGTTTTACTTATTTAAATAACCTCTACACCCCATGTGGGGCTCGAACTCACAACCCCGAGAACAAGAGTCACATGCTTCTCACTGAGCCAGCCAGGTGCTTCTCAGCATATTTATTCTTTTTTTTTTTTTTTTAATTTTTTTTTTAACATTTATTTATTTTTGAGACAGAGAGCATGAACGGGGGGAGGGCCAGAGAGAGAGGGAGACACACAATCTGAAGCAGGCTCCAGGCTCTGAGCTGTCAGCACAGAGCCTGATGCGGGGCTCGAACTCACGGACCGTGAGATCGTGACCTGAGCGAAGTCGGACGCTCAACCGACTGAGCCACCCAGGCGCCCCCTCAGCATATTTATTCTTAAATGTGTTTAACATCCTATTGATTTAACACTAATGAAATTCTCTTTAATGGTTTTACATTTTTTATTATACATAAGATGTACAGACCGGGTCCTGTCCTAAGCCCTTTACAAGTATTAACCCGTTTAATTCTCGTGACACCCCTAGGAGGTGGGTGCTTTTATCACCCCGGTTTTGGAGATGAGAAACCCAGGCTCAGAGAGGGAAGCCACCAAGCTGAGGTCACCCAGCTGGGAAATGGAGGTGCCAGGATTGGGCCTGATGTCTGTCTGAGGCCAGAGCCCGTGCTGACCCGCCAGACAGGAAATCAGAGCCAGGGACTGGCTACTGGGACTGCTCACGGGGACAGTGGGTAGTGTCGGGGGCTGGGGGTGAAAGCAGGGAGGAGGTGCCATGACAGGCGGGGGGGCGGGGGGGGTCCTGCTTGGGCCCAGCTGGGCTGGACCCCTTTTTGGTACCCCGCGCTTCTGCTCCCTCCTCATTCATGTGGCAAGGTCCCCAGGGCGGCCAAGGCGCCAGGCTGGGCTGTGGATCTGACACCTCCCGCTGTTGAGTTCTGATCAGAATCTGGCTCCGGGGCAGGGGGCGAAACTGAACCCAGACGGGCCTCCTCTGGCTTGGACGGCACGACAGATACGCCGGCCCCACTCCCGGGCGCTGCCCAGGGCCCGCGGGTGGCTTTCTTGCAATCCGGGGCAGTCTCTGCCCACCCTGAACCGTGGCCAGGCTGTGGCCTTGGCCCCGGGCGCTGAGCTCCGGGGTCCCCGGGGAGCCCGTGCCCGGGCCCCCGCCCCGCCCGGCTCTCAGGTGAGCGGGCGGGGATCAGGTTCCTGCGGTTTCATGTCCCGCATTGTTCTTGGCTGGGCCCCGGCTTATGAAAGAGTAATGAGGGGCCCCTGCTCGCAGCCGGCCCCTCTAAGGTTTCGCTGCCTCGGCCGCCGCCACCACCACGGCCCAGAGTCAAGGCCTGGGAGGGCGGCAGCGTGGGGGCCTGAGCTGGAGCCCCCCGGGGACGAGGGTGCTGACAGCCGCCAGCCGCCATCGCGGAGCCCGCCGCCCAGGTAACCTGAGAGGAGGCGGGGTGCAGGGTGCTGTGGCCGCTGTCTCCCACCTCCAGGGAGGGCCCGCCACCCCGGGGAGGTGGGGAGGAATGGGGGGGCCTTCCCGGAGGTGAGCGGCCGTTCCCCCCGGGTGAGCCCGGCACCAGCCTTCGCAGGTGTGGCCCTGCTGAGGGCGAGGGAGGGATAGAAGGGCCTTGGGCTCAGGGCCCCACCCGCCCCCCCTGGGGCCTGGACCCTCCCGCCCGCCCCACCCCCGGAGCCCCCTGCCCCTCCTTTAGCCCCGAAAGTCTCTCCTTCCTCCAAGGTCTTCCTCAGACCTCAGACTTCCTTTTTTTCCCATTGCCTTCAGTCCCCAGGCCTGGCTGGTCCTTGTCCTCACCCTCCCCTCCTCACCCTTGTTTTCCAGCTGCAGAAGACCCCACCCTGCTTTTGCGTCCCTTTGTTTACCTCCCACCCTCCGGCACACACACGTCCGCGTGCAGCAACACGCATGTAGTAATGAACTTAACGCAAACGCGTGTGTCAGCGTACCCACTCCCCGGACTTGCATACGCACGCACGTGGGCCCGCTCGCACCCGCACGGGCTTTTGTGCACATACCTGTCCACACACATGTGCGTGCGTGCACACACCCTCTATCTCCGCCAGCCCCCCCCCCCCCCCTCCCGGCTTGGGTCCCAAGAGGCGCTTCCAGCCTGACGGACAGCTCTCCTTGAGAAGCCTGAGATCCCAGGAGGAGATGCCTGGACACTTCCATCCGGCCTGGTGGGGGGAGGGGCTGCGTGGGGGGGAGGGGAACCCCCACGTGGGCCAGGAGCTGCCTCCTCTCTCCAACTCTGCCCCAGGAGCCGGGGAGCCCTCCAGGTGCTGAGGTGCCTTACTGCGACCTGCCTCGCCGCCTGCCTGTCTCTGAGGGTCCTCTCGGTTCCTCGACCTCCGGCTGCCAGTCCGTGGTGGGCCTGGGCCTTGGGCCAGGGCCAGAGAGGTGGGTAGAGCCCCAGGCTTGGGGAGGGGTTCCCGAGGGGAGGATGCCCTCACCCGCCCCCACCCTGCACCCCTTCAGGATGGCAGGATCTGTCTGTGCTGGCTGCCGGTGTGGGTCATATGGTCAGGTCACACGGCCTGGGCATAGGCAGGCAGTGGGCATGTTCCTGGGGCCCTAGCTCAGTTTGCTCTGGGGAATGGAGCTGCCAGGCACCCACCCCGCAGGGGGCATGGCCCCCCACCGCTCACATTTCCTGGTTCCCTTTGCACAGCTTTAAAAGATTAAACAGTGTCAGCACTGGAAGGGGGCGGGGGCGGGGCGCGGCACCTGTTACCACCCACCTACCTGCTGCAGGCTCTGGGATTCCCTCCACGCCCCGGCCTGAGCTGAAGTCTCTCTTTAGACCAAGGTGCCTTGGGAGGTCGTGGCTGAGGGTCCGGAAACCTGGGTTCCAGCTTCAGTTCCATCCCTGATGGGCAAAGGGAGCCTGGGCAAATGTTTCCCCTCCTCCATGCCTCAGTTTCCCTGTTTAGGAAATAAGAGGAATTGAATCAGATTGTCTTTGCTTGGGGAACATGCATTCCTCACAGGGAGGTATTATTTTAAAAACAAAACAAAAACCAGCTCTGCCATCAAATGTGTTTCAGAAAGGCTGGGATAAACAGATTTGAATATCTCTCTTGCAAGACTCGTCAGCACCTTTAGTTTGCTGGCGGGCCTTGGGCTTTGGGGTAGGGGAGGTAGGAGAAGTGTGTGGTATGTCCGAGACTCATTTGACCACAGACCTCTTTTTCACGGCCATTATCCCTTTCCATCTTTTTTTTTTTTTTTCAACGTTTATTTATTTTTGGGACAGAGAGAGACAGAGCATGAATGGGGGAGGGGCAGAGAGAGAGGGAGACACAGAATCGGAAACAGGCTCCAGGCTCTGAGCCATCAGCCCAGAGCCCGACGCGGGGCTCGAACTCACGGACCGCGAGATCGTGACCTGGCTGAAGTCGGACGCTTAACCGACTGCGCCACCCAGGCGCCCCTATCCCTTTCCATCTTATAGGTCAGTCTGTGGGTCACTCTTTGGGGAGACTGCCATCTGTAAGCCTTCCCGGGCCTGTGGCTGTCCTGACTGGCTTCCTAAACCAGGGCTTTACTTCACAATGCAGCTGTAGCCCTTCCTAGCTCTGTGACCTTGGCCAGTCCCTTGACCTCTCTGAGCCTCAGTGTCTTCATCTGTAAAATGGGCATCATTACACACGTTTCAAAGGGAGACTGTTGTAGCTGAAAGAGCCGGTCCATGTGAAGAAAGAGCCCAGCACAGAGAGCCCTTGGTGTTAGCTCCCTCCTTTGCTCTAATGCGAGGTGTGTGTGTCCCTGGGTGGGGGTATCACTCCCTAATTCCCATGACTTTTGGGGGAAGAAGTCATAGGTCTGTCTCTTCTCCCAGGGGCCCGTCAGCAGGGTCCTCTGCAGAGGGCCCCACAGCCGCCCCCAGGAGCCAGGGCCAAGAGGCAGTGCCCTACCTGGAGGGTCTGGCCTCCTCCCTGAGCGGCAGCTTCGACGAAGGTCCCGACTCCGGCACCAGCTCCAGCCCTGAGTGCAACACCCCTGATGATCCCAGCGACTCGTCCTCCGTGGTGAGCTGGGGATGAAAAGCTGGGGACACCATCGCCCCTCTGTGCCAGCCCTGGGGTCCCGCCCACAACTCCAGACAAGGGCTGAGCCTCTCACACCAGGGAGCCGGGCCAAGGTCCTCTGGAGATTTAGCCAGCTGGACCAACCGCCTGGGAGGGGTGCGGGGTCTCTGCAGGGCGGGCCCAGGGGGCTGGGGCTTAGCTGTGAAAAGACGGAAGGAGTTTCAGGTGAATCACCAACCGGGTCAGCCTTCCAAAAACTCTCAAGGTCACAGAGGGCCGGGATGTCAGGCGTGCTGCCTAGACCTCGGACAGAACTGGTCCTGAGCCCTGTCCTGGTCACACACCACTGAACTCCATGACCAGCCCTGGGATAGATCTCTGAGGCACAGAGGAAAGGGAGCAGGCTGGGGGGCCCAGGGAAGGGCTGGGGGCCATCTGCCTGGGAGCTTCCGGGGGTACTCACCCCTCAAAGGGCTGTCACAGGGCAGAAAAGGCAGGCTATCTGTGAGACCTCCAAGGGGAAGTGATGGGATGGCAGGTGTGGGTTCAAGAAGACTCACCAGCCGCTCAGAGGTAGAGACTTTTATGGCCCCATTTTGGGGCAAGAAAACTGAGGCTTGGAGAAGGGAAGCAACTTACCTAAGGCTACCTATCTGGAAAGTGGAGGGGCGAGGCTTTGACCTCACTTCTCTCTGGACCCTGGGAGTGCCTCTGGGGACTGGGGGGGCTGCTGTGCCACTGCAGGGAGTCCAACTGCCCTGGGTTCAAGTCCTCCTCCCACCTCAGCTGTTTCCCAGCTGTGTGACTTTGGGCGGAGTTCTGAGCACCAACATACATGCCTACCTCGTGGGTTGACTGAAGGTTAGCTAAGTTCGTGCCTTGAGGAGCCCAGCACAGTGCAGGGCATTCAGCAGGTGCTCTTAAAATGTCGGTGCCTTTCTCTTCCTTCTACCTGTCTCGTGCTGGGGGCACAGGCCCAAAGGCTCCAAATATGCTTTTCCTCCCTTCCCCGGCAGGACTGGGACACTGTTGAAAGGCAGGAAGAGGCTCCCAGCTGGGACGAGCTCACCGTGATGATCCCAAGGAAGCCCCAGGAGGGGCCCAGAGCTGACAGTGCCCAAAGGGTTCCATGTCCCGTCACCCGGGCCCCTGCGGGAGGAGATACCGCAGGCCAGAGAAAGGAAGGTGAGTCCTTCCAGGCCAGGTTGGTCCCCGTGACCACAGGTGTGGTGATGGCCTGAGGCCTGGCCAGATCTCCCTGGCCATCTGGGTCCCCTGGCACAGCTTACTTTGGTGACCCGAGTAATCGTAACAGTTCCCATATAATTGAGGAGCGGCCGTGGTGTGCCATACATCAGCTGTATTTATTTTTATTATTATTTTTAAACGTTTATTTATTTTTGAGAGAGAGACAGAGACAGAGTGCGAGCAGGGGAGGGGTAGAGAGAGAGGGCGACACAGAATCCGAAGCAGGCCCCAGGCTCCCAGCTGTCAGCCCAGAGCCCGACGCGGGGCTCGAACTCACCGACCGCGAGATCGTGACCTGAGCCGAAGTCGGACGCTTAAGCGACCGAGCCACCCAAGCGTCCCCGTGCTACCTGCTTTAGATACATCATCTCACGACTCGTTGGTTAGGATCAGGTTGCAATTGACAGAAACTGGCTGCACATAAACGGAATGACTCACATAAGTAAAAAGTTTAGGGGTTTGTGACTTCAGGCATGGCTGCATCCAGATGTTCAAAGACTATCAGAAATCTGGTCTCTGCTATGTTTCCTTCCGCGCCCCTTCATTCTCCCCCAGACCTTCCCCCAGTCAGGGCACAATGAGCAATATCAGTACCAGGCTGTATCCCATCTGCATATCAGCTCCCAAGACAGAGGGTGCAGTCTTCCCATAGATGTTGCTCAAGTCCCAGGAAGGGTTCTCCCTGGGACCCAGCATGGGTCATGTGCCCGTGCCCTGGTGATCAGGGATGGGGTCAGACCCCTGTGCACACCTCACGGCCTCAGAGCGGGGGAAGAGATTGCCCAAAGGAAATCAGGGCGACGTTGTGCGCAGAGAAAGGGAAAAGGCTACCGGACAGGCCAAGCCCCCAGATGCCCGTGGCACTGGTTAGCATCTCGCTGACTTGTGAACCCAGTGTGGGTGATGGGAGCGTGTGGAGCGTGGGAGATGGGGGGAGAGGAAGCCCGTGGGGGCGGGGGGCCACCCACAACTTGCACCTCCCTCCAGACCTGGTTTTCCTGCAGTCTGTTCCATGTCCCCGGCATGCTGGAAGCTCAGGCCCCAAATCGTGTGCTTTCCTGGATTTCTCTCTTTTCTTTACCCTTTATATTCAATCCTCAGCAGCTCTGGTTAGCGCCACCTGGGAAACACACCTCTCAGATCTGTCCCCTTCTTGTCCTCTGCGCAATACTCGCTGGCCCAGCCACCGCTGCCCCTCGCTGGGATTGTGGCCAGAGCCCCCTCAGAGTCCCCGCTTTGCTGCCCAGCGCTCTTCCGCCCATTCCCCACAGCAGCTGGAGCCATCTTTTAAAAACAGGAATCAGGTCTTGTCATCACCCCACCCCCACTGCCTGGCCCTATCAGCACTGGGGAGAGGGTGCATGGGAAGAAGTAATCTCACAGGGAACACAGGGAGCCAACTGCCTCCCTGGAATGTGAGTGGCCTGATAGGCAAGTGGGATTTTGTACGAAATACCTGCTCTCTTGCTTCTAACACGGAGGCAGTGGAGTGGGCGCAACTCACTGTGTGACCTGCTCGGTCAAAGTCAGTCACCACTGTCCTCCCCGTAGCAGGCTCCCAAACTGCAGGCAGGGCCCCCCCACCCCCCCACCCCGCCGAGGCCCAGGAGGAATTAGCCAACGCCCAGCTGGCTGAGAGACAGGACACTGTGCCCTAGGACATCTGTAGAGCTTGGCTTGTGTGTGCACGAGTGGGGCTGCAGGAGTGAAGTCAGATCCTGGGTGGGCCAGGCTGAAAGGGATTCTTGAGATGGGCGGGCAGGGGAAGAAGCCAAGGTTGGGGGCGATGACCCAGCTGGGAGGCACTGAGAGGAGTGACAATCGCCATCTCAGCCAGCACCCAGCACCCAGGCACGGCGTGGGAGGCGGCGCTCAGAGCTGGAGGGTGGCAGCACAGTATCACTGAGCTCCTCTGCTGTGCTTAGCACTTTTCCTAAGCCCGGGAGACACAATGGAAAACTAGAAGGCGAGGCCCCTCCCCAGATGGAACTGGGAGGCCAGTGGGGGCGGCCAGAGCCTTTGCCCAGCCAGGGGAAGTCTCTGGAATTTAATTCAAATGCAGTTGGGAGCCCCTGATGTTTTTCCAGTCTTTTATTCTCAGATAATTTTTTTTTAATGTTTATTTATTTATTTTTGAGAGAAAGTTCACACAAGCAGGGGAGGGACAGAGAGAGAGGGAGACACAGAATCTGAAGCAGGCTCCAGGCTCTGAGCCGTCAGCACAGAGCCCGACGCGGGGCTCGAACTCACGGACCGTGAGATCATGACCTGAGCCGAAGTCGGACGCTCAACCGACTGAGCCACCCAGGCGCCCCTGAGATCATTTTAAATTTATTATTATTATTATTTTTTTAATTATTTTTTTTTTCAACGTTTATTTATTTTTGGGACAGAGAGAGACAGAGCATGAACGGGGGAGGGTCAGAGAGAGAGAGGGAGACACAGAATCGGAAACAGGCTCCAGGCTCTGAGCCATCAGCCCAGAGCCTGACGCGGGGCTCGAACTCACGGACCACGAGATCGTGACCTGGCTGAAGTCGGACGCTTAACCGACTGTGCCACCCAGGCGCCCCCATTTTAAATTTATAGAAGAGTTGCAAAGCGTACAGAGAGTTTCTGTTCTACCCCTTGCCTGGTTCCCCTGATGTGGACATTCTTCCAGAGCCATAGTATAGTTACCAAAATTAAGAAATCAACATTGGGGGGCGCCTGGGTGGCGCAGTCGGTTAAGCGTCCGACTTCAGCCAGGTCACGATCTCGCGGTCCGTGAGTTCGAGCCCCGCGTTGGGCTCTGGGCTGATGGCTCAGAGCCTGGAGCCTGTTTCCGATTCTGTGTCTCCCTCTCTCTCTGCCCCTCGCCCATTCATGCTCTGTCTCTCTCTGTCCCAAAAATAAATAAACGTTGAAAAAAAAAAATTAAAAAAAAAAAAAAAAAAAAAACAACATTGGGACGCTACTAGTGTCAAAACTATAGACTTTATTTGTATTCACCTGTTTTTCGACTCCTGTCCCTCTGAGGTCCTACCGTCCCATCCAGGACCCACATTGCATTTAGTCTCCATGTCTCCCCAGTCTCCTCCAGTCTGATGGCTTTTCGGTCCCTCCTTGGACGCAGGGGTGAGTGATCTAGCCAGGTTTCCTTTTGGAAAGGATCTCCCTGAATGGGACGGCGAACCTGGGGGCCCACAGCACACACGTTGGGGCATCAGTTCGTCAGGCAACAACGAAAAATTTAAGCGCTGCTCTGTGTGTGGTTCTGGATCCTGGCTAGGCGCCGGAAATTCAGACTTCGGTGACAGCAGCTCAGAAAGTGTGGAAAGAGACACAGCTTTCCCAAGCAGGAGGAGAGGGAATCTTAAGCACGGCCTTTAACGAAAGCCGTTGTGGTTCCTTCGAGATGAGGCCACAGTACCCTTTGCTTCTCTCCTGATGAAGCAGCGGCCCGGGGACACGCACAGAGTTGGCATGCCACCCCGTGCCGGATGACCAAAGGATAAGGGGGCTGGTGGGTGACACCGAGGTCATGGCGGCCCCTTCATGAGGATGGGAGTTGTGAAGAGGTGCCTGCTTAGGGCAGTTACAATAATCTCTTAGACCAGGGCTGCTTATGCAGTAATGTGCATGCAAATCACCTGGGAATCTTATTAAACGTAGATTCGGGGCAGGGTGCCCAGGGCGGGGCGGGGCGGGGGGTGAGGGGGCTGAGATTCTGCGTTTCTAGCAAACTCCCTGGTGAGGCTAATGCTGCAGGTTCACAAAAGGCCAGCCCATCCTCATGGCAGCTCTGACAGGAGCTTCTAGGGCAAGGGCCTCTCTGGGTGTGAGGAACGGGAGCTTTCTAGAACTATCACAGTGAAAGAGGCTCATTAGAAGAGATGGGGGAATTTCTCAGAACCCAACCGCAGGAGTAGAACAGGGAAAGGGAAGTTGCTAGGTGGCTGCTGCTGGACCCCCCCCCCCTCCCTCTCGGGGGTTACCTGGGCTGTTGCCAAAACTGTTCTCTATGAATTTGTTCTGGGACCCGCAGGCCATGTGCCTTTCCAGCCCTGGAGCCTACCTCCCATGGACTGAGTCAGGCTGGGTTTTCAATTTCAAATCCCAGCCTCAGCTTGAGAGAGGCCACTAAGCCCCCTCCAATCTGCCTTATTTACAGGGGTGCAGTCACCTCGTACGGACAGTGGAGCCTCTAAGAAGGGGCTGTGGGCTCTGCCTTCATCATCTCCTCTCGGGGCGCCTGGGTGGCTCAGTCTGTTAAGCATCCGACTTCCGCTTGGGTCATGACCTCGCGGTTCGTGAGTTCCAGCCCCGCGTCGGGCTCTGCGCGGACTGCTTGGAGCCTGGAGCCCGCTTCTGATTCTGGGTCTCCCTCTCTCCCTGCTCCTCCCCTGCTCACGCTCTGTCTCTCTCTCTCAAAAATAAGTCAATGTTAAAAACAAAAAAATCATCTCCTCTCTCCAGACACCTGCAGCGGGAGCCGAAGTGCTGGTCAGCACTGGGCCAAGCTCCGGGGAGAAAGTGGATACTTCTTGGAGCAGCACCGCTCAGCGCTGACCCAGGCTTCCTGTGCAACGCCACAGAGCGGACCTCGAAGTGCCACCCCCCAGACTTCCTCTCTCCATCGTTCTACCCAAAGGGACGTTATCCAGACTGCTTCCACACAGCTCGCTAACCCCCGAGCCTCCTCTCCCCCACAAATCACCCAACGGGACAACCCCAGGACCTCTTTCACACAGCAAAACACCCCCAGAGCATCCTCTCCTTCAAGACTTGCCCAACGGGATAACCCCAGAGCCTCCTCTCCCAACAGAACCACTCAACGGGACAACCCCAGGACATCCTGTGCCCAACGGGACAACGCCAGAGCCTCCTCTCCCGACAGAACCACCCAACGGGACAACCCCAGAGCCTCCTCTCCCAACAGAACCACTCCACGGGACAACCCCAGGGCATCCTGTGCCCAACGGGACAATCCCAGGACCTCTTCTACCCAAAAGGACAACCTTAAAACCTCTTGTACCCAATGGAACAACCTCAGAACCTCTTCTACTCAACGAGACTACCCGCAATCTTCCTCTCGGCGGGACAACCCTGGAACTTCCTCCCCTCGATGCTCCACTCAACGGAACAATCCCCGGAATGCTTCTCCCCATCGTACTAACAAAGATATCCCCTGGGCCTCCTTTCCCCTTCGCCCAACCCAGAGTGAAGGCCCCCGAACCTCCTCCCCATCTCGCTCCAAGCAAAGTGAGGTCCCCTGGGCATCCATTGCCCTTCGGCCAACCCAAGGTGACAGGCCTCAGACCTCATCTCCCAGTAGGCCAGCTCAGCGTGACCCACCCTTGTCCTCCTCTGGATCTACTCAGTATAGCCCACCACCCCGGGCCACTTCCTCTTCCCAGAACCTGGGCCACCACAGTGCCTCCCGGACTTCTTCACCTCTGTACCCTGCTACCCGCGGGGCAGCCCAGACCTCTTCTGAGCCCTCCCAGCCTCCATGTTCTGTGTGTATTGGGCATCGGGATGCTCCTCGAGCTTCTTCCCCTCCTCGCTATTTGCAACATGACCCCTTCCCTTTCTTCCCAGACCCCCATGCATCTGAGAGTGAATCACCCCACCACAACCCCCCCTATATACCCCCCCAGCGGGGGGCAGGGGACACCGGGATGCCCCCCGGGCCTCCTCACCCCCCCGCCACGCCCAGTTTGATCCCTTTCCCTTCCTCCCAGACACATCAGATGCTGAGACTCAGTCCCCCCAGCACGATCCTCCTCAGTTCCCCCCACCTGTATGTATCGGGTACCGTGACGCACCCCGGGCCTCCTCCCCGCCGCGCCAGGCCCCAGAGCCCTCCCTCCTGTTCCAGGATCTCCCCAGGGCCAGCACCGAGAGCCTTGTCCCCTCCACAGACTCTCTGCACGAGCCCCCCCACATCCCCACCCCTGTGTGCATTGGGCACCGGGATGCCCCCTCCTTCTCATCCCCACCACGCCAGGCCCCTGAGCCCTCCCTTTTCTTCCAGGATCCCCCAGGGACTAGTATGGAGAGCCTGGCCGCCTCCACCGACTCTCTGCATGGCTCCCCAGTGCTGCCCCCCCAAGTGTGCATCGGACACCGGGATGCACCTCGAGCCTCCTCCCCGCCCCGCCACCCCCCCAGTGACCTAGTGCTCCTGGCATCCTCACCTCCGCCGGGCAGCTCGGGGGGCTCCCGGGGCTCGGCGCCCCCTGGGGAGACCAGGCACAACTTGGAGAGGGAGGAGTACAGCATGCTGGCCGACCTGCCCCCGCCCAGGAGGCTGGCGCAGAGGGAGCCAGGCCCCCAGTGCGGCAACGGGGGCCGTACCCGCAGCCCTGGCCGTGCAGAGGTGGAGCGCCTCTTCGGGCAAGAGCGCAGGTGAGCTCAGGGCGGGGTCAGCCAGGCGGGGTGGGGAGGAGGCTCGGCAGCAGGACAGGTGGAAGGTTCACAGGCTTAGGTTGGCAGGTGGAAAGGGTTCAGACGCCCCACCCTGCCACTTACTGGCTGTGTGACCTTGGGCAAGTCACTTCATCTCTGTTTCCACATTTTCAGAGGCGTGTGTGTGTGTGTGTGTGTGTGTGTGTGTGTGTGTTTTGACAACCAAGTGATGCTATGTGTAGCCTAGTGGTTAAGAGCAATAGACCAGGGTCAGGCGGGCTGGGGGTCAAATCCTGGGTCAAGTCTAACTCCCCAACCTATGGGATCTGGTAAAGTGATTTAACCTACCTGAGCCTCAGTTTCCTCATCTGTAAAATGGGGAGAACGTTAGTATGTTACCCTTTGCTTGATCCAGAATCATAGGTTTATTTTATTTTTTCCTTCTTACATGAGGGAGAAAAAACTACCCATGCTTCTTTTCTGCTTTCACAAAGGAAACTCATGGGTCCCCATGCGTTTCAGAAAACAGAGAGATGTCAATTTAAAACGAATGGCCAAAGCCACCTATTTTAAATAAGAGAACGCACAGCATTACAAATTTTTTAGAAGTTAAAGGTCGCTTTCCTGGGACGTGGCGACAATGCCTGAAGTCCGGGTATTTTATGAGTCTCCTCCTCCCGAGTGCTGCGCGGGCCGTTTATGGCCCCACACCGTCTGCTTTGCCACAGCTGCGGGGAAAGGAAACATTTCCTCCCGACCTGGCTGAGATTTCTTTCTCCAGCCGTTCCAGCCTCCGAGTTTTCAAGGATCGGGGCTGGAATGCCATTAGTTAAGGTCAAGAGAACAAAAAGTTGGTCTGGAAGGCTCAAAACTTACAGCGTATAATTCAATGAATTACAGCGTATTTACTAAGCCTGAGTTGCACAGCCACGCACAACCTAATTTTAGAACCTTTCCATCACCCTAGGAGCGGGTAATATTTTGCATTCCAGAATTCCTCTTTGTTTTCCTTTAGGCAATATTGTCTCTTAGGTTGGACTCTACTTGAGAAACCTTATCTCTTACTCTTCAAATTTCCTCTTCCAGTAAGTTTTATCCATTTAGTACCCAGGTGACCACCTTTGTGGTCCCCGGCATTAGCGTAATTCTTTCTTTGGCCTTTTTGAAAAACACATTAAGAAATTTTTTAGAGCAGTTTAAAAAAAAATTTTTTTTTAAGTTTATTTATTTTTGAGGGAGAGAGAGAATCCCAAGCAGGCTCTGCACTGTCAGCATGGAGCCCGATGTGGGGCTCGATCTCATAAACCCTGAGATCCTGACCTGAGCTGAAACCAAGAGTCGGACACTTCACCGACTGAGCCACCCAGGCGCCCCTAGAGCGGTTTTAAGTTCACTGTATTGAGTGGAAAGTACGGAGGTCTCCCATTCAGCCCCTGTCCCTCCCCGCCCCCCCCCCCCATACACAGCCTCCCGGACTATCCACATCCCCCACCAGCATGAAATATTTGTTAGAAACCATGAAGCTACACTGATACATCATTATCACCCAAAGTCCAGAGTTTACATTAGGGCTCACTTTCGATGGTGTATATTCTATGGATTTGGACAAATGTATAACGGCGTGTATCCGCCATTGTGATATACAGAGTAGTTTAACTGCCCTAAAAACCCCCTTTGTCTTTGGTCTTCTTATGATGACTGTTTTTGGTCCAATATCATTTTGCATACCTTTGATTTTATCTGATAACTCAGCAGGGACACTAAAGTCTTTAAACCAAAGTTAAATTTTCTTCTCCTTCTCCTTCTCCTCCTCCTCCTCCTCCTCCTCCTCCTCCTCCTCCTCCTCCTCCTCCTTCCAGGGATAACTTTGAGACAGACCAAGTGTTTAGAATAGAAGTCTGGAAGGTGTTTGTACTTTTGTTGACATTCAATTATTTTTACACGGATACGTCTATTCATTTTATTCTGCTCTCTTTGAAGTTGTTTACCTTTTTAAGGCTTTATTGCAGTATCATTGGTATATAAAAAAATTGCATATGTTTATTGTATACCTTTTGGGGAAGCAGACTGTTTGCTTTTTAATCAACGTTTTATAACTCTACTGCGAAATTAATTTTTTCCTCTCGTATGGCGCTTTTTCCAAATGGGAAAACATTTGTCCCCTGAAGACGAGCCTTTAAAACCTATTTCAGTATCTGTAAGGGACAGACCAAAATTTATGAGTGGCTAGCTATAGAGCCATACTTTTATTTTCTCCCCTATGTTCGACATGTATTTATTGAGCATCTATTCTGTCCAAGCATTGTCTACCTGAGCCCGGACGATTTCTCTTAAAGGGCTATCACATTCTGCTTATTATACACATCTTCCACATCGTCTGGCACTGGTTAAAAAAAAAAAAAAAGCTATCACATTAAAACATGAGGAGTTTGGGCTTGATATCTTGATATCTTCACACACACCCCCCCCCCTCAGATGCCTTTGGAATCCCTTATCTTAGCATCATGTAAGCATTTTGTACTCTCTTGAATTCAAAAGAGTCTTCGTGGAATTTGCTAGACTTGATGGCCCTTGTCCTTTACTACTCTCTGGAAATAGAATGGAGCCCATCCAAGCTTCCAAAGGAAACGTGTTTCCTTTGCCTCTCCCTTGGGGTAGCCACATCAACACTGATGGCCCAAGGGGACACTGTTGCTTCAGCATCGCAAAGGCTGGGTCTCTGTTGGCTTCTCGGACTCTTCTGGAGTCCTTTCCTCCCATGTCTCAAATCCACATGGGGGGAAACTTCTCAGAAGGGCTCATTGTTGAGCACGCTGGAGTTTATTCAGCGCATCCACTCGAGAAAGCGCACATTGGCCGGTCCACCTGTCCACCCTGCCCTGAGGTTTTTTTTCGCCGTTATGCCCCCCAACCCAGTCACGTTTGGGGCTTTTGCTTCACGGAGCCTCCAGTGCCTGGTTCTGTGGAACACTCACTCTGCGACCTCAGATCTCACAGAGCAAGGGACTCCCGTCGCCTCAAATAGATTAAAAATGGAAGCTGACCAGGCACCCCTCAAACTCTGAAACACTTGCACCAGGGAAGAGAACTTTGGTTTTCTGTGAGTCAGTCTCCTTTTTTTTTTTTTTTTTTAATTTTTTTTTAACGTTTTATTTATTTTTGAGACAGGGAGAGACAGAGCACGAACAGGGGAGGGTCAGAGAGAGGGAGACACAGAATCTGAAACAGGCTCCAGGCTCTGAGCTGTCAGCACAGAGCCCGACGCAGGGCTTGAACTCATGGACTGCGAGATCATGACCCGAGCCGAAGTGGGCCGCTTAACCGACTGAGCCACCCAGGCGCCCCGAGTCAGTCTCCTTCTAAGAGCTGCTAAAATCTCAACGGATTTTATGGGTCTGGTTCTAATGACATTGGAAAAGCTGTAAGACCACCCCAAAAATGCCAAATTCATATATATGTATTTTTTTCTACTCTCCAAAGTGTCCGTGGAGTTTCCGTGCAGTTCCCAAGCCAGAGGCAGGCCGAAGGCAGGCCTGGCTGCGCAGAGGTCCCCCTTCCTTCCCTTTTGGCTGGCTTGGGGGAGGCCTGGCACTGAGTGGTCTCTTTCAGGCTTCCCTCATGTCAGCCGTTAGAGACCCAGCTCCCTTGGTCAATTTAGATGAAGTCAGACCTGTTGAAATAAAGTTCCACCGGAGTAGTTGGGTCTTTGCTTTTGATGACCTTACCTACGGGAGGGGAGAGGTGTGCCCGGATTCTGTTTGGTTCCTACCTCTCAGGTCACGTTAAATATTAACAGCCACGGCTACCAATTATTAAGCAAGACGGTGGACTGAAACCAGGGACTTTTTACAGCTTAGAGGTTATCTTCATTGGACTGGGCAACCGTGCCTGAAGTCCAGGTGCCTTAGAAGTGCCACTTGCGTGGACAGTTTGTGTTGGTCTTCTCTGGAATTGTAGAGGATGTTTCTTCCTTCCGACCTTGCTAAGAGCTCCTTTACTGACAGCTCAGATGGCCTGGAGTGGTCAAGGCTAGGTGCCGGAACCCTCTTGGTTATGGAGGGGGGAAGAAAAGACAGGTCTGGGAAATCCAAAACCCACCATGTAGACAGGCAAAGGGCAGAAAGGATGGGAAGTGGGGGCACATTACACTCTGTATCTCCCGCCCCCACCTCACCGGTTGTGTGAGACAAAGTGGGGTGGTCAAGTGCTTGGCACCTGGAACATAGAAAGTGCTCAGTAAATGTTTGCTGTTCCGATCATGTGCGCACAGTGCCTGGTACACAGTAGGTGCTCAATAAACCTTAATTCCCACAAAGGCCCGTCTAACCTTTATCTAGGGGTGAGTGGTGGACTGCTGGTGGGGTGGGAGTCAGAAACAGGAGGTCCTGAGTGAGGCGGGAGGCAGTCAAGACCAAGGCGAAGCCCCCTACCTGTGTTTACCCCTTTTTCTCACTTCACCCCATGAGGTGGGTAGATTAGAGCCATGTCAACCCTCCTCATTTTTCAGAAGGGGAAACTGAGAACCTGAGAGGATCATCCCTTACTTAAGGCCCTTCAACCAGCTCGTGGAGGGTCCCTGGATCTCCCACATCTCCTGCCGCCGTTGGGGGCGGGAGTAGAGGAGCCGGGATGCTGGGACAGTCCCAAGGGCCCTCAGAGGGGCGGCTGCATTTGCTCATAGGAAGTCCGAGGCGCCGGGGGCCTTCCAGGCCCGGGACGAGGGGCGGTCGCAGCGGCCCAGCCAAGGTCAGAGCCAGCTTCTCCGAAGACAGTCCAGCCCTGCCCTCAGCAGGGAGGTGAGCACTGCCAGTCTGCCCCGGGCCCCTGCACCCCCCCCCAAGGTGGCAGGCAGGCGGTTCGAGAAGGGAGGTCCTTTGTGAAACGATCAGAGTCCCAATCGCGGGTGTCCAGCTTCCCCCGACCAAAGAGCCAGCAGCTCTTAGCAAAATTGAGAAGGACCCCAAATTACTGTCTTAAAGAGGGCCCTTCCGTGCTGGCCCCTTCCTTCATTAGACACCTGCTATCTCGAAAAGTTTTCAGGGAAAGCCGCAGACGCATCAGTCCAGCTCTAAGGGCTATCTCTTCCTCGCTGGGGATTTGGATTTTTAAAGAAACTCTTAGAGAGCAGGGCCTGACCCAGTGGCGTGGGGTGTTGGTGGTGGGAGTTCTGGCACCTGCTAGCCCAGGGTGGAATCGATATCTCGGGGAGGGGGGCACGGGGGAGCCCGGAAAGTAAGCAGCATTTTGAAGATCTCTTTCTGAAAGTGAGGAGACTGGGTGAAAGGGAAGAGCTCACACCCCCAGGGAGGAAAGACCCTAGGTGCTTTGCGGCCCGCTTTCATCCAGCCTGCTGTGAGGACACAGCCTGCCTCGCCCCAGTTTCCTGTACTGGAGAGAGACTACCCCGTCAGGGTTCTGGAGCGCCACGCACCCCCTCACTTATCCTCAGGTAACCAAGCCCCTTGCGAAGCAGGCAGAACCGGCCCGGCGGAGCCAAGCGGAGCCCCCTCATCCCAGGAGCCCCGAGAGGCGGCCTGAAGGGGACCGGAGGCTCCAGGGGTCCTCGCTGCCCCCGAGGACATCAGCCCGGACCCCTGAGAGGGAGCGGCGGCCAGAAAGATCTCTGGAAAGTGGCCGGGCAGGCCCAAGACAGCCTCCGGGGGGCCGGCAGAGTCAGGAGGAGTCCCCAGGTGCCCAGGGCCCTCACAGACACCTGGAGAGAGGCTGGGACAGCCTGCCAGAGCTGTGTCCTCACCAGCCCACGAGCCCCCCGGAGAGCTCCAGGGTAGGCCCCGAGACGCCCACCACCACGGGCCGGGGTGCTGAGGGAACATGCCCACATCGGCATAGCCCTGAGAGGCGACCCGAGCTTGACTGGAGGGACCTCGTGGGCCTCCTCGGGGCACTCCGAGAGGGGGCCTGGGCCTGCATGGAGGCGTCGACGCTCGCCTCCCGTCTTCCCAGGCTAGACTGGGAAGGCCTCCTGGAGCTCCTGCAGGCCCGGCTGCCCCGCCAGGACCCAGCTGGACACGGGGGTACGCTGGCCACTGCTTCGGGGCCAGAGGTGGCTTCCCCAGCCACGAACGGTACCCTGGAGCGAGAGCGACAGGGCCAGCCTGACGGCTGGGTGGAGGCCACCCTAGTCAACGGACAGAAAGCTGGGCCGTGGCCCCAGAGCTCTGCCCAGCCACCCAGCCCTGACTACGTCTCCACCCAGTGGCCAAAGACCAAAGTGACACGTGGACCGGAGACCTCGACTATGGCTAGTCTGGAGGAGATGGGCCAGCCAGGGAGCAGGAGCCCTGCAGAGGGTCCCAGCTTGCCAGAGTGGGAGGTAAGTCAGTGTCACATCCAAGGGGCAGCCTGAAAGTCAGCCTCACCCGGACAAGTGCACACCTTCCGAGGCTCAGCCCTAATCCCTCCTCCCGACCAAAACTTTTCCGACCGCCTCCGCAGTGATACTGACCAACATTTACTAGATGCTAAGCCCCGGTCTGAATGTTTTGTGGGTGTTTTCCTCATTCAATTTCCATAGCAACCTGATGCGAAAGGCACTGTTTATTTACAGATAAGGAAACTGATACTCAGAGAGGTTAAGCCACTTAAGATCACACAGCTAGTAAGGGCTGGGGCAGGGGTGGACCGCTTCAAGCAAGGTGCTCTTGACCAGGCATTCTCCCTTCCTGGCTGCACAGTCCTTGGCTTGTGTTGCCTCTGATGGCTCTTACCTGACCCTGGCTGGGACGGCAACCAGTGTGGTCAAGTCCCCCTGACTTCCCTGCTGTATTCTTTTTTTTTTTTTAATCTTTATTTATTTTTGAGAGAGAGAGAGAGAGAGAGAGAGAGAGAGAGAGAGAGAGACAAAGCACGAGTGGGGGAGAGGCAGAGAGAGAGAGGGAGACACAGAATCCAAATCTGGCTCCAGGCTCTGAGCTGTCAGCACGCAGCCCGATGTGGAGCTCGAACTCATGAGTGGTGAGATCATGACCTGAGCTGAAGTCAGACACTCAACTGACTGAGCCACCCAGGCGTCCCTCCCTTCTGTATTCTAAGTTCCTCAAACATAGGACAGTTTCACTTACCCCTTTCTGGCCCCTATAGCTCCTCTCGGGCACAGAGAAGAGGTTGTACAAATGCTCATTGGGTTGAGTTGAGTGCTAAGACAGGCTACTTAAACGAGGGCCTACTATGTGCAGGTCTGGGGGCCTGGCACATAGTAGGAGCTCACCAAGTCCCTTGCCTGCCTCCTTGGCTCAGGGGCAGGGTCACAGGGTCGGTGGTACTCTGGTGCTGCCCGGAGCGTCTACCTGAAGATGGTTGGGTGGGGAGAGGGTCCTGGAGGCCGAGGCCGGGCAACCTGGCCTCAGCCCACTGGGAATGCAGCGTGTGGTTTGGGCACCCGGCCTCTCTTGCCCTGGTCTTACCCCGTAAAATGGGACCAACTTCTTCCCTCATAGGTACCCACTGGCGTGATATGGAGGCTCCTGCTCGTTCATCCAAGCCCCCTCACTTCCTTGATGTGCAGCCCAATGCTGCCTCCCTCCTGGATGACAGGGGAGGGTTTCCAGTGTGCCGGGCCCTGGGCTTGGTGTTTTACGTGCTTTGCCATCTATATGCCTCAGCCTGATCCGAGGCTCAGCCTTAGTCCGCCATTTGCCGGAAGTCACACATGTATACGTTGTGAGAAATCAGATCAAACCTTTAACTCCAGAGCCCGTGCTTTTAACGGCCATGTTGGTGAAGCCTCTGAGCCCATGGCCATACTGGGGAGTCCCCTTCCCTGTATTTCCCTGAGGCTTTTATCAATCTATTCTCTAGTCAACTCAATGCACAGACCCGAGATTTGCAGAGATGAACCAGCTTGGTCCTACCCTCCTGGTCAAAGGGGGGCTGGGGGGCTTGGAGCCCCCCCCCCCCAAGAAGCTGCTGTCACTGGGGCTCCAGTTGGCCACCCTCTATGAAAATCCTTGGCATGGCTTCCTCCTGGCCTTCCTTCTGGCCGGCTCTCTACTGAGCCGGCTGCAGAGCTCTCCAGGGGCATCTCCCCGCCTTTGCACATGCTGTTCCCATTGCCTACGACGCTCTTCCCTTCCCTCTTCACTCACCAGACACTTGTTCGTCGTTCAGGTCTTAGATCAGGTGCCCTGTTCTGAGGTCCCCTCCCCGAACAGCCACCCCACCTCGGGGTTGGTAATGTTTCTCTTCTGGGCTTGGTGGTCCTGCTGCCCTCCATCTGGTCACACTCAGCTGTCATTCCTCCTTAAGAAAGATGAGCTGCGTGAGGGCAGGGGCTGTGCCTACTTTATCTCTGCACTTCTAGCCCCTGGCCAGACACACGGGAGGAGCTCAGCCCCAATGGATGAGTGATCGGTGCCTGCAAGACGCAAATGGAGGATGGGTGGGTTAGCGGGGCGGCGGGGGGGTGGGGGGGGTGGGAATGACGGATGAATGATGGACGGCGGATGTGTAAATGGGTGATGGACAGATACACAGATATGATAAATGGTAAAAAGATGCTGGATGGAAAGTTAGATGGGTGAGGGTGGAGCGGATAACAGGTGTCGGATAGATAATGTTTGCTTGGCTGATAGATGGGGCGACGGATGGGTTGATGGATGAACATGAGCGGAACATGAACGGATGGTTGGGTGGTGTGTGGAGAGGTAAACGTGGAATACGGATAATGGGTGGCGAATGGATGTTGTGTGGGTTGAGAAAGGATACTTGGCTGCAGGATGGATGGGTAGACCATGGATACATAGAGGCTGGATGTATGAGTGGGATAACGGATGCTGGGTGGGTTAGTGAGTGGAGAACGTAAGGCAGACGTTGGACCGTTGGATGGACAATACATGGGTCTATTGATGTTGGATGCTAGGTAGATGTTGGATGGATGGGTAAGAAGGCGGATATGTGAACGGAACCTGGCGAATAACCTGGGCTAAGCTTTGTTCCTTCTTACCTCCAGTTCCAATCAGAGGAGCCTGAGGAATCAGAACCAAGCAAAGGCCGAGACTCACTGACCGACCAGAAGCAGGCAGATTCGGTAGTTGGGTCATGGGTGTGGGCGCACAGGGAGGTGAAGGGGAAGGGAAATCAGGTTGGAGGCGGGCTGAGGTCCTCTGATACGCTCTAGGGTCGTCCAGACCGGGGTTGGCTCTGCCATGGGGGTCATCTGTGTGCATGGTAGGGCCTTGAGAGAGGGGCTCCGGGGGGGGGGGGGGGGGGGGGGCCCCGGGCCGCAGAGCCACCTTTTGGCTTGGGGACCCGGGGCAGGTAAATGATCCGGGGGTCAGAAGCCTGGGCCTCTGCTTTTGACTTGCTAGGACGCCCTGAAAAGTCGCTCCCGTTTTTCTGGGTAAATGGCAGTTTGAGCCTGATGGTCTCTGAAGGTAAGGTCCTGGTTCTGGAGGGCTGGGCAGACCGGGAGAAAGCGTAGGGATTCCAGGAGCTGGAGCCAGAGAACCGCTGAAGAGGGCCGAGGAGGTGCGGCAGTCAGCTGAGCCTGGACGGTCTCCAGGATCCCCGGGGCGGGAGGGATGTGTGCAGGGGGTGGGACCCAGCGAGGCTGCTGGAAGGCCGGGCAGCAGCTGGAGCACAGCGCTGTGCGCCGCCCCCCTCCCCTCCCCACAACCTGCCAAACAGACTGTTCTCATCACCCTCAGCCTCCAGAGAGGTGAGGTCAGAGCTGACAGCCTGGGGCAGGAGGCAGGGAGGAGACGGGCCGCTTGGGGCTATGCTTTCCTCATCCTGCTCTGGTTCCGCTGTTTCCGGGTGCTGCCTCCAGAAAAGAGAGTGAGAGGGGGGCATCTGCCTGGCAGCCTGGAACCCCCATTCTGGCCCTGCCGCTAATCAGAGCTGGGGCGATTCTGCCCAGGCCCTCATTGCAGAGGAGGAAACAAGGGGCAGGAGCGTCATCCCAGGTCACACCAGCCAGGCAGCGGCTGACCTCAAATTAGAACCTGGGGCTCAGGACCCCCATCCCGCAGTCCCGGTGCTGCCTGGATGTTGCTTCCCGGCTCTGTCCTGACCCGCCGCGTGGCCTCCTGAGGCAGCGGCAGGACTCTAATTGCTTGGTGGCCAGTCTCCCCGTCGGTGAAAGGGGAGGAGACAGAGGACTGGTCACTAAAGGCGCTTCCAGCTCTCACAGGGGCTCTGGCAACTTTGCTTCTTCCTCTTTCTGGGTCATTTCTTCATACTTCCTGGGGCCAGAGCTTCGTGAACGAACCGGAAATAGCAATATAGGGGTCCCCCTCTAATCTCCACGAAACGGGCCCATCCCACCAACGTGGAAACCTCTCAGTCCATCCCCAGGCGGCCTGGATTGGTCAGAGCTGGTAACTGCCTCGTTCGTTTGCTCGCTCGTTCGTTCATCCATTCATTCATTCATTTATTCACGTACGCTTAGTGAGCGCTTCCTGCTTGCCTGGGTGTGGGCCAGGAGTAAATTGGAGCGCGTGGAGCTCCTGGTCCAGTGGCCGGGGCCCTGCTGGGGGAATGTGGTGGCAAGGTGGGGAGCGGACTCCTTCCCCCCAAGCCCTTACACCCCACCGACAGATAAGCTCTGGACCCCGAAGAGTGGGGACCCCTGGGCTCTGGCCTACCTCTCTGCCAGTAAGCTGCTATGGGACTTTGGGTAAATGCTGCTGCTTTCTTGGGGCCTGTTTCCCCAACAAGGGTGACTGCAAAGGGGGTGCATCTGGGGACCTTGCCGGGAGTGGCTGCAGAAGTCTGTCATTCCTTCCTTTCATAAAATGGGGAGAGTAGGCGGACGCGGGATAGAGATCAGGGGCACTTGTGTGACCTCTTGGTGCCACACGGGTTGACGCCGTGGGGAAGATGGGCCCAGAGGTCTTCTACCTTGAGAAACTGGAAATATGTAGTTATACGTCAGTCTCTCGATGATTTAACATTGGAACCTAAGGCAAAACGATCTGAAAACCCTACGCAGGCTGAACGCACGTCTGGGGCGCGTCCTCCCCGCCTTCCTACTGGCCACCTGTGGTTTGGCTTTAGGGGGTGAAGTGCACGCCCCCAAAGGTGCTGAGCCCCAAGAGCCCTATCAGCCAAACACCCCGTAGTGTGAATGAGTTAGTTAGCAAGTTCCTTTCTTGGCAACTCTGTGAGATAAGAAAGATGAGAGCCCTGGGCCTTCCAGGTAGGCATGGCAGAGTAGGCAGGGGAGACTGTAGTCAGAGACCCCCCCCCCCATCCCACCAAAGGGACCTGGGGGCCAACACTGGACCCTGTTTGACAGGCAGACAAGAGGCCAGCGGAGGGCAAGGCTGGGAGCCCACTCAAGGGCCGACTGGTGACCTCATGGCGGATGCCCGGGGACGTTCCCACGCTGTTCAATCCGTTCCTGCTGTCTCTGGGGGTCCTCAGGTGGCAAAGGGTAGGCTGGCTCCAGCGGGGTGGGAGGGATGAGGGTGGGAGAGAGGGGGACGGGAGGAAGGAGGTTGGCGTTAGTCAAAGGAATTGGGGCTCCCACACGAGAAAGGAGAATCCCACCTCCAGGACGGGGCTGGGGCTGTTTTCCGTTTTCAGGGTGAGGGGGGGTTGAATAATCTATACAGCTGAAAGCGGCCAAGCAGCAACTGAGCCAAGGGGAGTCAGGTTGGGGGGAGGGAGGGAGGGATGGCCTGAGGGGGGGCTCTGGGATTGCAAAGTGTGTCTCAGACCTGGGTCTCAGCCAGTTTCACAAACATCTGGCATTACGTAACCTACCCCCTGCCCAGAGAGGGCTGTAAACACTCAGGCCTCTGGTTCAGGGTTTCCTCAGGGGCAGGGAGGGCAGGCAGCTGTGACTCGCTTCCTCCTGCCCCCTTCGCAGCAGAGAGAAGGGGCCTGGTCTCTCCAGGGGCCACTGGCAGGCGCGCGGGGTCTCTTCTCTTGTCGACAGGATGACTCCTGTACCCTCTCGTTGGCTCTGGGTCCAGCCCGAGGCTGGGCACGTTAGAGACAGTGTACCCACTTTGCAGATGAAGGGACCGAGGCTCAGGGAGGTGAGCTGGAGTTGCACGGCTCGGGTTGAGGGGAGTCGGCCTCCTGCTGATTTTCCTCATTCTTAGATGAGAGACTGGCTGCAGCTAACCCACCCCACGCCTCAGTTGCCACATCTGTTTAATGGGGCAGAATCTATAGCGATGCTCAGGGCTGCAGAGAGGGCTCGGGGAGATCAGGAGGCACAGAGGTGTGACGGTTGGGGGCGTCCACACACTAACTTTTCCCACCCGCTTCCTAACTTCCGCTCTGCTGCTCTTTGGGGGTCAGGGCACTCGGGTGATGGGACAAACACGGTTATCTGGGCAGAGTGGTACCTTCGAGCCACGGGCGGGAATTACCTTGTCACACTAACTAAAGGTCACCAACATGCAGCTGGTCTGGCAGGAGGGAGCAGGGAAGTCCCTGGTGGAGAGAAGGGGAGAGAAACGGGGAAAGGCACCTGGGACAATGGTGCTGGTGATGATAACCAGCATGTATTTGGCACCTAGTTTGTGCTCAGCTCGGTGTTCGGTGCGTGGCCTGCCTGATTGCGTTTAATCCTCACCCCCGGGGCATACGAAGTATGGTCCGTGTCGTCCGTCTTACAGAAGGAAATGAAGGGCGCTGAGGAAAAACACGACTTGTTCTAGGTCACACAAGGGGCAGAGCTGAGATGTGAACCCTCCCATCTCTGGGCATCCTGATCTCCAAGCCCTCCCTGCAGCCCCGAGAATCCCCACAGATTTTTTTCCCCGTTAGGCAGATGCGGTAACTGAGGCTGAGCCGTTTTCTCATCTGGGAATGAGGCAAATCAAGAGCTACGGGACGCAACTGCCAGCGGAGTCTCCCAGACGGTTACTTAGAGCAGCTTCAAACATCTCTTGGGGCGGAGGGTGACATCGCTCTCCAAGGTGAAAGGCCAGGAAACCTGGGCTTGAGTTCTGTCTCTAAGTTGTACGGCTTTGGGACGTTGTGGCCCTCTCTGAGCCTCATGCTGCTATCCTCAGTAGAGTCAAGTTTAACAACGGTTGGATGGATGGATATACCCCCAAGTTTGGTGGCTCTGTTTAATAACTCACTCCTGGGTCCCGGAGTCAGTCCCATCTCTGTCCCACTAGGACAAGATGTGGCAAGGGAGTCATTTCTCCATTTGTGCATTCGCTCATTTGACCTATGTTTACTGAGGACCTACCGTGGACTCCGAGATCTAGGCAAAAACACTCTGTGCCCACAAGAAGCTCAGTTTGGTGAGGACACTGACACGTAACTGGTTAGAACACAGTGTGGTCATCGTTTTAGTGGCGGAATGTCCAGATGCAGGGAGCAGCGGACAAGGAGTTTCTACCTCTGGGCTGGGGGCACCCTGGCTTCCTTTCGATTGAGACCTGGAGGGTGAGAAGGAATTTTCCGGGCAAACGATCATTTGGAGAGAGGGGAAGGAGGGGCGGGGGGGTGGGGGGGGAGGGCGGAGTGTATGTGTGTGTCGGGGCACAGAGGACAGGAAGAGAAGCTGTTCCAGACCCTGCAGAGAACAACATGTGCCGTCCCATCTGAGGTACAAAGGACCTGGTTTATTCTGGGAATTCCCAGCAGTCCAGTGTTGTGTATCCCTAGCATGTAAAACGTGTGTGGGCAGTGATGGAGGACAGCAGGCAGGGGTCAGATTCTGATGGCCGCTGACCGCCTGCAACAAGAATGCAGAGCTGATCTATTAGCACTGTTGAACTTTGAGCAGGGGAGTGAACTGATCGCTGGGTTGAGGGCACTGAAAGAGGAGTCCCCGAGGCCAGGAAACCAGCAAGGAGGCTGGTCGGGAGCCACTGGACCAGGGCACGGGTGGTGGTAGGGGAGGTCTTCTGTTGATTAACTCACTCTCCCAAGGACCAAATGCCTAAGTGAGGTAGAGGGGAGAGCGGGAAAACTCAGCACGTGGAGACAGGAAGGCCGGTGTCTAGAGGATGATAGGCTTATCCTTGGCCTCATGTCTCAGGGTGGAGGAGAGACACCCGGGGGGAAATGCCAGGAAAGAACTTCAGCCCCTGGCCCTCCATTTCTTTACCTGGGAAATGGGGAGAGCAATTATAGCTATGAAAGCAATAATGTCTGAACCCCAAACTGAGACGGCAGAAAATTGGAATGGCAGTTACTCCAAGCTCCCCTGCCTCCCCACCTAAAAACAGCTGACTAAGGATAAAGGGGACGTTCTAGGGGGGGTGACTTAAATTAACAATTAATCCTTACCGGAACATCAGGCGATAGTAGCCTTCTCCCCTTTTACAGAGGGTGAAGTTGAGGCCCAGAGAGGGTAAGTAATACTTTGCTTCAGGTAACTGCAGGGTTTGAATCACCATGCCACACAAGCAACCACTGCATTTTCAACAAATTCCACGAAGGTCCCTCCTCTGCTAGGAAGCTCAGATGAGCTCCTGCGGGCGAAAAGGCCTCTTACAAACGGCCAAGTGCTGGGAATGTGAGAAAAGTGTGTACGCCCACATCCCAGAACCCAAAATGGGGTTCTCAAGCCGAGAAAGACCCGCTTGTAAGGAGGGGCCATTTGGAGAAGGTCCTACCATTCCAGAACTCGCTTTGTGCTTCGATTACGCGCTAGGAATCCCGTCTCTTCTTACTGTGTGACCTTGGCCAAGTCGGCTCACCTCTCTGAGCCTCTGTTTTCTCATTAGTAAAAGGGGGACAAGGACACCTCCCTGTCAGGTCTGTGGTGAGGACGAAATTAGATTACATAGGTCATGAGCGGGGCTCGGCGAGTGGGACCTGCTGAGTTTTAGTACTGGCTGCATTGCCCACGTCTCCGTCAAACCGAGGCGCCGAGCCCTTGGTGAGTGGACCCAGCGCTCGGTCCGGCGGCTCGCGGGAGCCACCGCTGGGCGACTGGGTGCCACACCCGGCTGTCCCCGCCCAGCACTCCCGCGCCGGGGCCCGACCGAGTCACCTGCACGCAGGGTCCTTCCTTCCTCCCAGCGCGCCCGGGGCGGGAGCCCGGCCCTCGACTCCCTCCGCCCCCATCCGCCGGCCGCGACCGCCCTCGCGCGCCCGTCCCGTCGCGGCAGGCCCCGCCCCCGTCCCGTCCCGCGCTGCCATTGGTCCGCCCGCGGCCCCCGCGGCTGTTTGTCCCGGCTGCCTCGCCGCCCATTGGCCCTCCCGGGTCCTCCCAGGAAGTTTGAAAAAAAAAAAAAAAAAAAGTTTTATGGGCGGATGGAAGGGGCCGGGGCAGCGCCGGGGAAGGGAAGGGCCGGAGGAGCGGCGGCGGGCAGCCGAGAGGGGCGGCGGCGGCGGCGGGATTCCCGCGCCGCTGGGCCCGGCCCGAGAGCCCTCTCCACTTCCCTGCCTCCTGCTCCCGCCGCCCCGGGGCGCCGCCATGACGGTGAGTGCACCCCCCCACCTCCCACCCCCGGGCCAGCCCTTCTGCGCCCCAGGCCGGGAGGAGAGTGACGGCCCGAGCCCCAGCCGAGCCGCTCCCCTCCTGGGCACCCCCTTCACCTCCCGAAGGCGAGAGGAGGTCTCGGCCGGAAGACAGGGCGACCCCAGCGGCCCCAGCTGGCTGTTCTGCCTCGACTTCCCCCAGCCTCCTCCTCACCTTTCCGGACTAGGAGCCCCGGCGACCCCGAGGAAACGGGAACTCCCTATCTTGGGCAGTCTCCTCTCCGCCTACTTTTGTGGGACCAGTCACGGACAATTTCTGATGGCCCTTTTCCACCACCCCTCCAGCCCCCTCGCTGAAGACCTGGCCCGATTCTCCCAAGCTGCCAGGCCCGTAGGGACTCCCAGGGCTCCGGGCAGTGGGAGGAGCGGAGAAGGGCCTGGCCTGGGTCTGGGGTCTCGCCCAGGGCTGGAGAGGGGCGCTCCCCGGCTCGAATGGGTCGCGCTGATCCAGGCCTGGGAGGACTGCCTACCCGCATGGGCGCCCGAGGTTGAGTGGGTGAGAAGGGGCCGCCCCGTCCCACCCCGTCCGGGAGCCCGTCCTGGGATTTCCGAAGTGGCACGACGCCGTGTTCTCCTCGGCTTGCCACTTCGCAGCAGCACTGGGGCCTTGGCTCGGAGCAAGCCCACGAGTGGGGTGGGGGACACGATGGCAGAGATTTGTCTTTCTCTTGGGGATAGGCACTACTCCGGTTACATCAATACCTATGCCTTAATGATCATACTGAGCCTCGCAACTGAGTGGGCCTTTATTCCCATTTTAGAGTTAGATAACCCGCCGCTTGTTGGGGGGGGGGGCGGTGGTGAGTTGCCCGAGTCTACCCTGAACGTAAAGGAACGAGGAGCCTCTTTTCAGGTCAGTCTGGCCCCTTGACCGTGATGTTCTGGAAGAGGAGGGGCGGGGCTGCTTTTGGTTTCTGGCTAGAGCCTTAGGGAGGCTCTGACAGCCTTGGAGGGTGGGGTGATGGAGTGGAGCACGGTGCGTGTGCGCATGCGCACATCCCCTTTCCTCAAGCTAGTGGAGACCCTAAGAAGTGGGCTGGGCTGCTGGGGGTGGGCCCTCAGGGCCCCTGCCCCTAAGAGTGTGATGACCTGGCCGCTGCTTGGACTTCCTCGGCCTCCGCACATCCTGCCACCTCCCTGCTGGCTCTTCCTGTCGTCAGCAGCCTCCCTTTGGTCAGAGAGCCAGAGGGATGTGGGGGGAGGAGCTGAGTCAGTGTCCTGGCCGCCCACCCCCAGGCCCCAAGCCCTTGGCCCGGGGAGGGTGGTTGCATTGCCTACTGGGTGCCTGCCAGATCCTGAATTGGGTGCTTTCATGCTACCAGAGTTGATCCTCTAAGGATGATTGTAACAACCCGTCTAACAGATGAGACCACTGAGGTATAGACAGGGGAAGTGACATGCCCCAAGTGACATAGCTCGGCCTGGGCTGAGCCAGCATTTGTATCTAGGTCTGCCCCAGTTTTCTCGCTGGGGCCAGATAAGAAATGTACACAGCTGCCTCTCTTGAGAAAGCCCATGTTGAACGTGTGGGGGCACTTGAAGGAGGGACAGCATATCCCTGTGGTGCGAAGGGGCTTTCCAAAGGAAGATGCCCAGCTGCGATTGTAGGGCTTTATCAGGTGGAAATGGACGGAGGGAGGGAACAGTGTAGACAAAGGCTGGTGGTCGCGTTTGGGGAGTGGTGACAACATAGAAAGGGGACCTGGGAAGGAAAGCCTCCAGGGCCAGGAGAAGCGGTTTAGGCTTTGGTCAGGGACACTGGGGAGCCAAGAAAGGTTTTGGAGCAGAGAGGCGGCTCATGATCACCACTGACGGTGCTTTCTGGGTTCATCATGGCTGCCTTCATGCCTGAGCCTGCCCCAGCCTGGTGTCCGTCCTGGGCCTCTTCACACCCTTTCCCTCTCTCCTGACCTCTAGCCCTGAGCTCAGAGAGCTGCAGGAAGCAAATGGTACAGTGGCCGCGAATGGGTAAATGCCTAAAGGCCTGGAGTCAAGATCTCTTCCACCTCTTTTTGCCTTAGCCCTGTGTAGCCCTGCCCTTGGAGCCTCATTCCCTAAGCCACCGCCTGGCATCAGATTATATACCCGTCCCTTGTTTATTGTCTGTCTCCTGAGTTCCACCAGGGCAGGGGCCACATCTCCCAATCGCAGCTGATTTCCTGGCCTAAAACAGTGCCTGATGTGTTTTTGTTTTTTTTTTTTTAATTTTTTTTTTTTTTACAAACATTCCCTTAGCCTCTTGGTCCTGGAGGGTGAACAGCGCATGTCCCTAATGGAGTTGCTTCCACTCTAGCCTGTGAGGGATAAGTAACTGGCTTCACGATAATCACAAATGCAACAGAGGCTGTGGGAGGGCAGCTGCCATGGGTGTGTGTTGTGTGCAGGGAAAGGGGCCTCAGAGGTGGCAATTAAGTTGGGTCTTAAGGCGCGGGTAGGGGTTTGCCTGGTCAACGGAGGAGGAGGAAGCCTGGTACGTAAGCGGAGGACTCGGGCTGGTGCGGAGGGGCCTGGAGTCCCGCTGTGCCGGGGATCGGAGAGCATACGTGGTGATATAAAAACAGGGTTCCCTACACGAAGGGGAGGCCGGGCTGGGAGGGTGAGCTGCGGCCTCTGTGCCATCAGGCAGCTGGACCTTGGTTTGAAACCACCTGGAGCCATCCCTGGAGGTTCGGAGCCGACTCGGGACCCTAGGCCTTTTTGAGAGGCTCTGTGCTTAGAGGAGGCCGCGTCAGTGGTCCAGGCGGGTGGGAGGCAATGCTGAGCTGTGGCCGCGGCTGTGGCCATGGCCAAAGGAAGGAGAGGGCAGGCCGTGAGAGCTGGCCGGTACTCCTGAAGGGACAAAGGGAAAGTGAGCTGCCTTGGGTGGAGGGAGGGTGGCTGGGCCTGAGTGGAGGTGTGGCATGAGAGATTTAGACTAGCAGACCTCTTGACCCTGGACAGAGGTTCCCAGGTGACTGCAGGACCTGTCCCCCACCCCCCCCCCGCCCCGCTCCCGCCAGCAGGTTTAAAATCTCACATTGGCATCCTCCTCCCTCCAAGGTCACTGTGCCCATCTCGTACCTGACATGCTCGTAGTGTGTTTGTACCAGCTTCCAGAGGGTCACCGAGCTCCTCCACACGTAGCTCATTCAGCCCTCTCACAAAGCTTTGGGGATGGCAGGACCCCCACCCCCTGCACCCCTACCCCCAGCATCATTTGCTACATTAGGCAGCCAGGGCTCAGGGAGGGGAAGGTCACAGGGACCCCTCCTCCCCCCCCCCCCCCCCCGCTTCCCAGGCACCCCTTGGGGTCCCAGCCTGTCATTCTAGCTGGGGAGCCCTTGCTCAGCTCTGGAAGCCTATGGCTGATCCCTCAGCCCTGGCCCAGTCTGAATGGCCCGGTGGTCTGCTCGTCCTTCCCAGGGGCTTTCCCCTGGACAGCAAGGCCAGCTCTGTGGGCCATCCCAGATAGCCTGACTTCTCAGAGGCAGGGGGTGAGGGTGGAGACTGCCCCCAAAGCACAGGAATTTCGATCAGGAAGGTAAAGGGGGGGGGTGGGGGAGTGATATTTATTCAGCAGGTGTTTGCCGAGGCCTAGTCACCGTGGGCCAGACCTTGGGGGTCACCGGAGGTCCCGGTCTGAAGGGAGGTTACCCAGGTGACTCGGTGGCCCCGAGTGTAGCTGCCAATCTTCAGTCTTCGCTTGGGACCACCCCGGGCAGCCTCTGGCACTCGTGGGGAACAGGGTGAGGAAGAATCGAGAGAGACAGGGCAAACACAGCCCCAGGGTTTCCCAGCTCTGAGCCGAGCCTGGGTCCCCTCCCTCAGACAGGTATGCAGGGAGGGGCTGCCCTGCAGGGGTGGGGCTGCTGGCCTGCTGAGATCCAGGGGCCCTGGCTGCACAGCCTGGGCTGTGGCTGGCTGTGGATGTCCAGGCCCCTGGGCCAAGCCCCTCTTAGGCCACTTCCTCCACCTGAGGAAGAGGAGAGTGGGGAGGAAGGCGGGTCAGGGGAGGTGGCCAGGTCAGGTGGCTCCGGTTTCCAGCTGCTGTCTCTGCTGCCCACCCCACGGAGCCGAGCCGCAAGCTCCTTCCCAGGCAACCAGACACCTTGGCCTGGTGAGGCTGTGATGACGGTACTGATAGGTGGGCTCAGGGCCATAGCGACAGGTGGCCACCTCCTCCCTGCCCGCAGCTTGGCCCGCCCTGCTCTCCCCCCTGCCAGCGGGCAGAAGCTGACACTCTGCTGACGGACCAGGCCTTAGACACGAGAGAGAAGTCTGCCGGTGGGCAGGGAGGGTCAGGTGGCTGGCGCCCACCAGATGGGCGTGGCCAGAGAAACCACCCGGGGGAGCATCTGTTTCATCTAGGTGGGGGTGGGAGGGGGTACCTAGCTCACAGGCCTCTGGAACATGCAGCGGCTGGGAGCCCCCCGACCCCGGGGCCGCGCCCCCCTGGGCAGCGCCCGGCAGGTAGGGCTTGCCTCCACCGAAGTGGTATCTTCCTGGCCCTTCCAGAGATCTCTGACCCCACCCTGGGCCTGGCTCTATCTTTCAGAGTCTCCAGGGGACAAGGAAAGGGCAGGGCGGGGCTGGTTGGACCACAGGAGGGTCAGTGGGTTGGGGATCAGCGGGGGGGGGGGCTTTAAGGCATTTTCCTGATGGGCCTCCTGGCCTTGTCGGTGAGAGCGACTGGACAGTTTGCTCAGCCCTGCTGGTTCAGGCTGTTCTCAGAGCCCTCTGGGGTCTCTCTCCCGCTCTTTGGTGAGGAAGTAGGCTGGCAGGAGGGGAGCCTGGCCACCTGTGGTAGATGTGCCAGTCACCCTGCCTGCCGTCTTGGCTCTCAGAGGTTGTCGGGGACAGGGGCCAAGGCTATCTCAGTGGTTGGGGAGCCTGCCCGGATTTGGGGGTTACCTGGGCCCTCAGCCCCCTCTCCTGGCTTTCCAGGACCCCAGTCTCACAGGACTCAGGGGGCAGGATGGGTACAACACTCCTTCCCCAGCCCCAGTTGGTTCTCCACTAGGCCTAACTTATGTGCCTCCTTATCTCTCCATAGCCCGATCTGCTCAACTTCAAGAAGGGATGGATGTCGATCTTGGACGAGCCTGGGGAGGTAGGAGGGCTGCAGTCAGAGGGGAGGGCTTGGCCTGTGCAGCTTCAGTGCCCCAGGGGGTCTCTGGGGGCAGCCCAGGAGTCTGAGCTGCTTCCGCAGCTTGTCTAGGCCTCTAGAGAGCCTGGCCTCTGAGCGGAGGGGCGCAGGTGGGCTCAGAGTGGGCACCCTGAGGGCGGGCATTTCTCGTGCAGTCAGGGCGGGCCTTGGGCTGAGGGGGTGGGAAGCAGAGGCTACTGTCATCTTGGCCCCCTGGGACAGTCTGCAGGCATACAGGGTGGCAGGGGTAGAGGCCTCCTAGCCCCTCACGCCCTATGCCCCATCCCCTCCTCTCACCGAGAGCCCCCGGGCCCTTTCCCCTCTTGATGACCCTGACTGGGTCTGAGGGGTTCACAGAGATCGTCTGGCCTGAGACATTACAGATTCCCCAAGACTCAGCCATGCGGGAGCCTCTCCCTCCCCATTAGAAGTGGGTCTCAGAGCACAGGCTCGGAAGTCTCACCCACCTGGGGCTCCCCTGGTTACGTCCTCTGCGAAGGACTTAAGCGGAGTCTGTGAAGATGTTAAGTCCACATCTATGAAATGGGCATATGGATAATGAGGATTCTTTCCAGGGTAGACAGCAGGGTCAAAGAGGTCGGGCCGTGTAGGGTCTCTGCTATAGCTCAGCTAATGACCCTTCCCTGTCTCTAACGTGCCCATCACCAGGAGGGACAGCGGCCTGTCGCTGGCTCTGCCCTTTCAGCTGCCAGGCTGATGGAGTCTGGGAGCTGGAGCTGGCTTCCTGCCCGCTCAGCCTGGGAGGGGACGTCTCCCCACCCCTGTCCTGCATGCGCCCGTGGCTCGGGTCGGCACGCAGCCCGCATGCCGGGGAGGGCCCGGAGCCAAAGGGAATCTCATTGTGTTTCCTCCCCACATGTTTTATTCCCTCCAGCCCACAGCCTTCCGTTCCTGCTGCCTGCTCGCCAGTCCTCTGGTGGCTACGCTCCAGGCTCACACAAGGCCTGGCACCCTGCCAGTGACCCTTCCCAGCCTCCCCACCCAGGGTCTCTGGAGGGCAGAGATTACAGGCCCCACCCAGAGCTGGCCACTACTCATCTTCTTTCACAGGGTTTTGGAATGTCCGAGCTGGAAGGGCCCTGAGAGTTCAGCCAGCCCAGCCCCTTGGTGCACAGACAGGGGACAGGCCCACAAAGCTTACTTCTCCTCTGGGCCTAGTCATCGCTTCGGTAGACCCAGGCCTAGAACTTGGGCTGCCTAAGGCCATAGAACTCCATCTAGCTCCTCAACTGTCATAGACTAGGGAGGGATAGACACTTCCGATCTTCTTATCAGCCCTCCTTTACAAGTGCCAAGAGTGGAGCTCAGAGAGGCCGAGATACTTGACCAAAGACACACAGCTAGGGATAAAATCATTGTAATCTAGGTCTCTTGGAGGCTCAACCCCTATTTCTTCGGGGAGGCCATGTAGAAAGAAGTTGAAAGTGTCATCCCAGCACACCCCTGAAAACTTGCCATTTCTTGAGGAAAGAAGCCTAAATATTTGAAATAACAACGTGGATGGAGTTTGGTGATGTGGGGGAGCCCCCGGAGGGCTGAGGACTGGGTGATATGTGCTGACCCTGGTGGTGGGCGGACCTTGACTGGCATTCCAGTGAATGGCCAGAAGCCCAGAGGCGGGCTGAGCTTGGCACATTTAACATCAGGCTGTTGTGGTGCCCCTACCCTTCGCTGTGCGTCCTGCCAGCCCAGCGCCCGCCGGAGCAGAGAGCGGCACTGCAGAAAGGGGCCCAAATCATAAATGCGCAGATAACGCACTCACAAGCCGAACACGCGTGTAACCAGGAACCCGATCAAGAAACAGAACAGGACCAGTGCTCAGACACCTACCTCCCCCCCCCCACCCCAGGCCACCTTCCAGTCTTACTCTGGGAGACTTGTCCTTGGTTACTGAGGGGGTCCAGAGGGCCATGGGGAAAACGACTCGCAAAGCTCTGCTCCCTGACTTGCTAGGTGAATGGCCTTACACAGGTCACAGCCCCTTCCTGGTCTGCCCTGGGGCGGGGGCGGGGGGAGGTGTGCACTTGTAGGAGCCTTGGTGATCTTGATGGAGAGGGTCCGGAGGGCTATGTTGCTGTCAGCAAGTCAGAGAAGGGCTCCCAGGAGGACAGGGAAGGTGTGGTCACTGAGAAAAAGTCATCCCCTTTCACAGACGCTGCGCCTGGAAGGGCCAGGCTGCAAAATCTGGATTTTCTGACTCTTCTCTGTCCCCCTCCCCCCCGGCCCCCCAACAGGGCGGCTGAGGGGGCCGGGGCCCCCACGGTTGACCTGGCCAGACCCAGGACAGCTGTAGAGTGGTGCACGCACATACCCTTTCGTTCCACCCTCCCTGCCGCCCCGTCCCCTCGTTCACCGCCACGTCTCCTTCACAGTGGAAGAAGCATTGGTTTGTGCTGACAGATTCAAGCCTTAAGTACTACAGGGACTCCACCGCAGAGGAGGTGAGACAAAGTGGGGAGGCTCCCTGCCGCCATCAGGTGCTGGGGGTGGGGGGTGTCCCTGGGAGGGGCTTGGGGGGCCTAGGTGGGGAAAGTGGAAATTGTGGACCGTCGTGGCCTTCCCGCGGCAGGCAGATGAGCTGGATGGCGAGATCGACCTGCGCTCCTGCACGGATGTCACCGAGTACGCGGTGCAGCGCAACTATGGCTTCCAGATCCACGTGAGACTCGGGGCGGGGGGGGGCCTGATCGGGGGTGATGGGCTTCCCTCGTTCACCTATAGCCCCTGTCCTCAGAGCTAGTCAGAAGCTCTGCCGCCGGCACTTTGCGTGTCTGGGGAGACCCCGGCTATCACTGGGGCTGAACGCTGGGGAGACCTTGGAGCCAGCTGGCGGAGGGGAGCTCATCCCCAGGCGCAGGACCTCAGATGCCCTCCTGGGGGGGACGGGCCACCCTCCCCGGGGGTGCACGGTGGCGAGGGAGCGGTGGGGCTGGCCGTGTGGCAACCTGCCCGTGGGGTGGACTTGCAGACCAAGGATGCTGTCTACACCTTGTCGGCCATGACCTCGGGTATCCGGCGAAACTGGATCGAGGCTCTGAGGAAGACCGTGCGGCCAACCTCTGCCCCGGATGTCACCAAGTATGTGCCGAGCTGGAGCGGGACCTTGAGGGAGGCGCTTCCTCCTGCATCCCTGAGTGGGGTTCTGGCACACGCGAGAGGGCCCCGCGGCTGTGCCTCCCGGGCCTCAGTTTCTCCATCAACAAAATGGAGAGAGGGCAGTGAGCGTTCTTGGCACCCCCCTGAAGATACTTTGAGGATTTGAGGTTTGACTGCCATGCCTTTGTATTCTGCGACATCCTGAAAGGTGGGAAGGGGCTTTGACTCTTTGGAGAAGATGCCAGTGAGTCAAAGACACCCCCCTCACCCCCCTCCGCTACATCTAAGCCTGTTAGGCAGAGGGTGTCTGGATGGGGAGCTCACCCTCTGGAGGTGACTAGAGGGTAGGAGGGCTGAGTAAGTTGGTGGCAGAACCCGCATACAGTGTGAACCCTAGCCGCCTGTGCGGGGGGCGGGGAATTGTAGCTGTGGGACAGCAGGAACAGGGTATGGTATCGGGAGGCCCCCGGCACGAGCCCCCCAACCTGGCCACACCTTGGCTATTCGGCGTCCGGCCAGTGACTTACTTGTCTGAGTTTCACATTCCGTATCTGTCACGCTGAGTGTGGCCCCTCCTTCACCTGAGGGATGTGCCCAGGAGCCCTCTGTAGACTCTGCAGGTCTATGCAGCCTGACCGTTACTTAGTCTGTAGTCTCAGCTGCTGTAACAAAGAAGCCCCAAACACAGTGGCGTAAATAAGGGAGAGATTTCTTTCTCTCTCCAGAACAATCCAGAGGTGTGCCCTCCAGGCCTGGTGGGGCAGCTCCGTGGCCCACGACTCCCACCTTTGGCTCTGTCCTCACGGAGTCCCAGCCAGGGGCCAGGCCAGGGCACGTTTGGTCCTGGAAAGGGTACCGCCTCTCACACCACTGGGCAGAATGTAGTCACGTGGCCCCACAGCTGCACGGGACGCCGGGAGGCGTAGTTTTTGCCTGGGCAAGTAACGGAAGAAGGGGCCGACTGCCACTGTTCGTGCTCTGTGCACCCAGAGGTCACTGTTCACCCCCTCAACCGTGACCGTGGGCATCTTCCCCTTTCCACTGTGAGCCTCTTGAACCCAGGACCCTGCCTCAAACCGCACCTTTGTAATAACACTTTGATCAGCCTTGGCGAAGGGCTTGCGGTTGCTTTAGGCACATTCACTCGCCTAGTGCTCACGTCCATCCTGTGAGAGGCACCGCTGTCCCACGTTACAGATGCGGTCACTGAGGGTCAGGGAGGGAAGCCAGCTCTCCTGGTCCCTCTGCTGCTAAGCGTTGGAGCTGGGATGGTTCCCAGGGTCCTTTAATGATGAATCTCTAGTTGTAACCTCTAGGTTGGGTTGCTTCCCCCACCGGGGTCTGTCCCCGGGCCCTGGCACACGGGTGGCGCTCCAGAAGCGCAGGCTTGGGGGCTGAGCGTCACACGTCCCTCCTGACGGGGCTCTGCTGGCACCCTAGGCTCTCGGACTGCAATAAGGAGAACACGCCGCACAGCACCCAGAAGGGCTCCCTGAAGGCGGGGGAGCAGCGGGTGGGCTCTGAGGTCATCGGTCGGGGCGGCCCGCGGAAGGCGGACGGGCAGCGGCAGTCCCTGGACTACGTGGAGCTCTCCCCGCTGACTCAGGGCTCCCCGCAGCGGGCCCGCACCCCGGCCCGCGCTCTCGACCGCCCGGCCAAGCAGGAGGAGCTGGAGCGGGACCTGGCGCAGCGCTCCGAGGAGCGTCGCAAGTGGTTTGAGGCCACGGACGGCAGGCCCGTGGAGACGCCGACCGGCGAGGCGCCGCGCCGGGGCCTGGGGGCCCCCCTGACCGAGGACCAGCAGAGCCGCCTCAGTGAGGAGATTGAGAAGAAGTGGCAGGAGCTGGAGAAGCTGCCCCTGCGGGAGAACAAGCGGGTGCCTCTCACCGCCCTGCTCAACCAAAGCCGCGGGGAGCGCCGCGGGCCCCCGCGTGACAGCCACGAGGCGCTGGAGAAGGAGGTAGGCATCCCGGCCGGCCTCGGGGAGCCCCCTCGCCCCACCAGCGCCCCGCCTGTCCCTGCCGTCGCGCTGTGGCATTTATCTTGCATTCCTAAAGTGACGGGAAGCTCACCCCTGATTCACCGTGTGGTGCCCCAGACTCCCGTGAACCGGAATCTTGCTTCCTGGACCTCCGTGTTTTCTTGTTTTGGGGTGTTTTGTTTTTTTTTCCCCTCCTTAGTCTTGTCCTCCGCAACCAAAGAGAAGGGGAGAGGAGGGAGAGAGCACTTATTAGGCATCTTCTGAATACCTCGTCCTAGGCCTCCTTTACCTACATTGGCTCATGTAACCCTCACAGCGGTCGCGTGGTCCCAGAGGGTAGACCTTGTCCTGATTGTCCTGGCGGGAAACTGAGGCTCAGACGTTTCCCTGCCGCCTGCGGGGATAAATATCTGTGATCACAGTGTCCTGCTCCCAACCCCGTTTAGTCTTCTCTGGGACAAAGTTCTCCTGGGTCACTGACCTGGCCATCCAGGAAAGTGCTGGAATGTCCCCTTGGCCTGCATTTCGGCCGCGGGCCACCTCCCTTTCTCAGACCCAAAGCTCCTCACTGCCTGCCACCAGACCCTTGCCGGCTTCCAGGTTCCCGCTGACCTCGCCTCCTCCCCCTCTAGGTCCAGTCTCTCCGCGCCCAGCTGGAGGCATGGCGCCTTCAAGGAGAGGCCCCTCAGAGTGCACCCAGGCCCCAGGAGGACAGCCATATCCCCCCGGGCTACATCTCGCAGGTGAGGCCGGGGGGCTGTTTTGTGGGGGCTCGGGGCAGGTTTCTGGTTGCCGTGGCTTCAGAGAACAGCTAACGTTCTGGGAGCGTAGCGGAACCCGTGTGAGGCATCTCGTATGCGTCCTCGTATTTAATGTACCCAGCGGGTAGACGTGATCACTGTGCCCATTTTACAGACAAGCCACTGAGCTATGAGAGGTTATGGGACTTGCCCGAGGTCAACTGAGCTGCAGATGTCAGAGGTGGGACTTGAGTTCGGTTCCGGCTGACTGCAGAGCCTGTGTGTGAGCCCCCATGGGACGTTCTGCACGTGGACCCCTTCTCCCACACCACCCTGGGGAAGGAGGGCCGGTGGGGAATGGGATCCCCAACGGGCAGGCCCCCAGGGTCACTCCCTAAGCACAGAGAAATCCTGCCCGTGTTTACCAGGCCAAGGCCCGCGGGATGTGGGACCCTCCAGTGGCCCCCAGGGGACACTCCGTCTGCCTGGGACAGTGGTCTGGTAACCGTTTGACAGAAAAATCCATGTGTATGTAAACACATACACACTAACGTACGTTTACCGTAAATTTTACTGATCGAAAGGATGTGTAGGACACAGTGTACAAGTACAAAATATATAACTTTTATTGTGAATTCCACACATATAGCACATTGCCTTTTCTCAGAATTGACTGTGACTTTCATTGGTTTTTCCGAACGCTTGTATGCACAGCTAACTGACAAGCGAGTGTCATTCTGCCGTGCATGTTGGTTGACAGTTTGGTTTATGTTCACGAGTAAAACAAAAAGACATCTGTCAAACCTCTAGTTGGTCAATGTCACTTGCAGCTTCTTGGCCGAATTGGAGAATAGTTTTTTCTTTTGAGAATATCCCATCTAGAGTTATTTTCTCAGGTCTGTGTTCTAGTGACAATGTGATGGTCGTAGATGTGGCACGCTGGGAAGTTGAATCTGCATTATTAGCGTTTTCTCATCCCTCACTTAAGTCAGCAAAACAATAAATCAAGCCCTGACGTGCAGTGTTCACCAATTTCCGTGGTGTAAATACTCCCACTGTGGCCGATGTCCCTGAACACCGAATCGGGAAGATACACGTGCACAGAATTATAGAGCGTTTCCACCCTACAAGATACAGAAGATGTAAATAAACTCAAGAGCACAGGAACACCTGGCTGGCTCAGTCGGTGGAGCGCGGGACTCTTGACCTCGGGGTCTTGGGTTCGAGCCCCACGTTGGGTGTAGAGATTACTTAAAAATAAAATCTTTAAAAGCAAAACAAAACAAAAAAACCTCAAGAGCATAAACAATAATAAAATGCAGTGAAATAATTAGGAAGTGATGAATGAGTATCACCTTTGTTTTTAATGTAGTTAATTGTAAACGTATATACTTTAACTTTTAAAATGGCTGCGCTTAATCGTGTCACAGAATTGCAAAATATATGACCATCAGCTGTAGGCAGTCAGCCCGCCATTGTCTAAAGTAGAAAAGAGTGCTGGGATCCTAGGCTCTGTGTGGGCGGGGCCTTCTAGAAGCTCCAGGGTTGGAGGTCGCTGTGCGGGGCTCTCAGGCAGGCTTCCGGGGGGCGGGCATTGAGCAGAGCACTGGTTTGGGGTGGGGGCACGGGCTGGGGCCAGAGGTGGAGGGCCGGTGGGTGTCTACAGTGGAGACCTCCAGCAAGCCAAGGAGTTGGGATCTCATTCCGCAGACCTGAGGAGGTTTGGGGTCTGACAATGACGTGGGGAAAGTGGTGGTGGGGTGGGGTGGGGGGGGCTTGGGAGGGCACAGGGCCAGCGTCAGGAGCTAGGACGGTGACCGAAGGAGAGAGGGCTGTAGGAGGGTGTGCGGAGAGGAGAGGTTAGGACTGGGTGACTGGGCCCAAAGCAGATAGAGGAGAGCCCCTAGGGGCCCTGAGGCTGGGCGGCTGTGCAAGGCCAAGGAGCCGTCTGGAGCTGAGTGGTGGGTGAAGCATTCAACTGAAGGGAGACCTGGGCCAAGGGGAGTTAGGACCTGAGTAGGGGAGGGGGCGTGACTTTGGGGTCACCTGACATAGGGAGGGGTGTGATGGGGGAGGGACCAGTGTTGTTAAAGGCTCTCTAGAGGTCAGAGGACAGAGTGGGTGGGGCATCTTCAGGCTGGGTGTGGCTTAACACCACAGCCTGAGGCAGCTGGGACACCCTCAGAGACCCCCACCCAGAGGGCCTCAGACTGTACTTGGAGCCCTTCGACGCCCCAGGGGCTACCTTTCTGGGTGGGTCCATTCATAGCCAGGGGTATCCGAGCAGCCTCTTGGATTTTACTCTTAGGACCTGCATTAGATTTCCTTTGGGAAAAGATTTCTGTCCCTCAAATGAAGTTCGAAAAGCACTGCTCTGACTTCTCAGCTTCTCGATGGGGAAACCGAGGCCCAGAGAGGCGGTGAGACCTTCAAGCGGGAGGCAGACCTGTGTCTGCATCCCAGGCTTCCTGGTCCCCGTGGGGCCATTGGACACCACAAAGGCTGTCGGTGTTTCATCCTGTTAGGTTGGGATGGGAATGGTGCAGACGGAATTGGGGGAGGTGAGAAGGGAATGATGAGGAAACAAGCCAAAGACGGGAGTGGAGGAGGGGCCCCAGATGGGGAGGGTGCCAGACAAGAGAAGCTGAGCTATCTGTGTCCCCTCGCCAGCCCAGGAGGAGGTGGCTGGGGATTCAGCAGGCCCTGGAGAGCGGACGGCTGGGGAGAGATTCCCCAGCCTGGTATCTTCGTCCTGGAATCTTCTTTTAGCTTGTGGGGCTTCCATGGACAGCAGCTGGGGGGGTGGGGGTGGTTCTGGGGCTTCACCCACTGGGGCTTTAGTGACTCCTTTGCCTCCCTCCAGCCTAATGTGGGGGGGGGGGGCGGTTACAGGCATTTCTTCATCTACTTTGATCCCTGTCAGAGGTGGCTGCTGGACACTTTGGGCCTTCGGGAAGATATGTCAGAGAGAATAGCACTTGGCCTTCTAGGAGCCCCTCCTGGTCTCGGTCCTGCCTCTGACCCCCTATTAACTGCCGGGTCCGCCTGCCTGATCTGGCCCTTTAAGAACATCGGTTCCCCACCCCCTGTGCTGCTCCCATCTCTGTAGGTGGGTTTATCTTAGGGACCCTCATGAGTTGGCCTTATGGGCCTGTTTTATAGAGGAGGACACTGAGGCTCAGCGTGGGGAAGGGGCCCGTTCAAGTTCACTCCGGTACAGCGAGGCTCTGGACCCAGTGTGTGGAACTCCACAGCTATGTTCTGTTGTTGTCACTGGAGGGACATGGAGGACACATGCAGAGGGACAGATGTTCCCTGCCCCCCACTCAGAACACCTGGACCCAGGAGGCCTGGCCCTTAAAGCCCTCTGGTGTGGCTGCTGGACAGGTGGAGGGCGGTCCCCACCCACCGTGCCCTATGGTATCAGGTGGGGGGGGGGGTGGAGTATACTGTCTTATCTGGCCCTCTGCTTCGATTTCTTCTTGGGGCTCTTGCCCTTCCCTTTTTAATGATCTTAAATTTAAATACATAAGAAATATGTTTACATTTTCGAAAATAATTCAAACCAATCAAAAGGTTAGAAATAAACACCCGAGCTCTCCTTCCCCTGCCTGCTCCCACCCCAGGGGTCACCTTGGTTACCTTGGAGCACATCCGTATAGTTTCCTGTTGCTCTCGAAAGAAATTTGCCACCACCTTAAATAACCCAAAGTTATCATCTCAGGGTTTTGAAGGATGGTAGTCTAACTCGGATCTCGCCGGGCTCCAGGTGGGGCCCATTTCCTCACCTTTCCCGGCGGCTTGTGGCCACCTGCGCTCCTTGGCTCCTGGCTCCTTCCTCCATCTTCAAAGCCTGCAACGGAGAGTCTGGTCCCCCTCGCTTCCCGTCATTGACTTTCCGTGGCCACTTCTCCCTCTCTGCCCTCCCGCCTCCTCTTTTGCAAGGCTCGATCCCATCATTTATTTAAGGGCTCCCCCATTAGGGATTCGGACCGTGTCCCGTTTTCATCTGTTTCACCCTCGTCCGCAAGTCTTTATACATGTGACTTTCTGCTAGGTCGAGGGATGGGGTTACTGAAAGTGTGGTGACGCCATCAACTGCCCTCGGCACACCCGTCACAGCTGACTCTCCCAAGCGGTGGGCATTAGCAGTCTTCTAAATACTTGCCAGTCTTCTCTGCAGGCCCTGTGTTGTGATGTCATCAATTTCCGTTCACTTACTCCGCACCTGCCCCATGTCAGGCCCTGGTCCAGACGCCGGGGACTCCGAGCTGGGTCAGGTCTTCCCTGTCTTGGGAGAACTTCTAGTCCAGCAGAAGCAGAGCCTTCGGAGGCAGGGGAGAGGCCGTCCAGAGGCAGAGCAGGGAGGACACTGAGCTGGGCTGCAGGCCAAAGTCAGTTATCCCGGAAGAGAAAGTAGCAGAAGAACGTTCCAGGCAGAGGGCTTAGCCTTAGCTAAAGCTCAGAGTTGTGAACATGCCGTGACTGGCCTTCCTTGGTGGGGAAAGGCCCAGGCTGAGGCCACGAGGGTCGGACAGGGGAGCAGGGACTTGGCCCCACAGGATAGGAGCCTCGGAAGGGTTTGAAGCAGGAGAGTGACAGGGTGAGGTTTGTGGACCGGGGGAGCAGGCGCAGGTGCGGCCGGTGGCTCCCGGCTCCAGGGAGGAGAGGTGGAGAAGCCTGCCCCTGAGGCTCCCCGCCTCGGGCTGGGGAGGGGGCCCGTGTCCTGGGCAGTGGGGGCAGCCCCGGGACGTGCTGGCCTCCCGCCCGCAGGAGGCGTGCGAGCGCAGCCTGGCCGAGATGGAGTCCTCGCACCAGCAGGTGATGGAGGAGCTGCAGAGGCACCACGAGCGGGAGCTGCAGCGGCTGCAGCAGGAGAAGGAGTGGCTCCTGGCCGAGGAGACGGCGGCCACGGCCTCGGGTGAGAACCCTGCGCCCCACGAGCCTCCCAGCTGCGGCCCCTGGCTGAATCGGGGAAGGCTTTCGATAGGAGAGGGGGGGTCTCAGTGCCAGACTTGGGAAAATGCACCGGGGGGGGGGGTTGGAGCCCCTAGAACTGGCCTCTGCTCCTACTTGAGCTAAGGGAAACCAAGGCAATAAAAGGGTCCCCCCCCCCCCGCCCCTACTGTCTCCCTGGGTTGTGACTCCTCTCCCTCAGGGGCCTGCGGCCACTGGGGGTCTCGCCCCCAAGCCGTACACACGCACGGAGCCCCAATTCCGTGCCCAGGTGCGCGCTCTGTGCTGGGGTGGAGCCTGCTCAGCCACAGAAGTGCCATCTCCCCGGGTGAGAGGGCCGGACCCTGGGCAGAGCGGGAGGAAAGGCGTGAGCCTTTGCCAAGCCCCGTTCTGGGGAACGCGAGCACCCTTGGCCCATGCAGTGCCTGATCGAGGGCCCCCATTTAACAGATGAATAAACGGGCGCAGAGAGGTTGGTGACTTGTCCAGATGGCAGAGCCGGGGATGGAGCTCAGAGCACCCTGATTGCAAAGCCGTGCCCTGAACCCCACCCCCTGCCCTCCCAAGCCGGAAACAGGAATGCCCGAGACGTTGGACAGCTCCCTCCTTCCCTGTGTTCACTGCGCACCTGCTGTGCAGGTCTGGTACATCCTAAGCACTTCGGAGCGGTTTGCAGAGTGATAGGAAAGGACGAGAGAAGTCACATGATCCAGAACTTTCCCACCTGCCAGCGCTATGCCTCGTGCTTCACACCCCCGGCCCCGTTGGCCCCTCATCGCAAACAGCCTGGGGCCAGTGTGTTTTGCATTTTAGGAAGATGCCTTAGTACATCAGTTAGATATCCTTCCCAGCAGAGTCTGGACTCTCCCCTGGAATCTAGCACCAAGGTTTTTACAGTGAAATTTCTCAGAGTCATGCTGAACATGGGCTGAGAATGACCGCAAGTGGCCCCTGCGTCTGTTCGGGTCAGGGATTGCCACCAAAAGAGTTATGAAAAGCTCTCAGTGTTCAGAGCCTTCGGATTTTAGAATTAGGGATAAGATTATGGGTGAGGGCTCATTTAATCCTCCCAATAACCCTGCGTGAGTGTGGAAACACTTGGTCCTTGGTTGCTCACAGCCCGAAAAATAAGCCAATGGGAGCATTTACTGGGCATTTACTTTGGACCAAGCATTGCTCTAAATGCTCTATCTGCATCCTCCAATAACCCACGAGAGAAGGTGCTATCGGTAACCCCGTTTTCCAACAAGGGACTGGAGGCAAAGAGTGGTTAGGTGCCCTGCCTAAAGTTGCATAGATTTGTACCAGCTGCGGCCCCTGCACTCCTGAACGCCGGGCTGGGCAAGGGAGCTGGGCCTTGTTAAAGAACCCTCCAGGCTCTGCAGGGATGGCGGGCTGTGTGGGGCCTTACACAGACGTGACCAACAAGACGTACCAGTGGTCAGACGCTGAGGCGTCTCCCCAGCACTGTCCTGTCAGACAGGGATCGTCACCCTCCCTTGATAGATGGGCTCAGAGAGGTCTAGCAACTTACCCAAAGCCCCTCAGCTCCTGATACAGCCTGGTCCAGTGTTCTTTGCTCCTGCCTGCATGGTATCTGTGGGGCCTTGGAGGAGGTGGAGCTTACTGTTGCTGACTCCTCCCCAAGATCCCCCCATGCCTCTGCCCTGCCTCTAGCCATCGAAGCCATGAAGAAGGCCTACCAGGAGGAGCTGAGCCGGGAACTGAGCAAGACACGGAGTCTCCAACAGGGTCCAGATGGCCTTCACAAGCAGCACCAGTAAGCTGGCATCCGGACCCTGGGGTCTGTGGGCTGGGCCTCGTTCTGAGCTAAGGGCCCAGCTGCCCACCTTGGTGTTTATGAGGCAGGAACCTATGCCGAGGCCCCTCGGCAGAGGACACATCATTTTGCCCCCAGACGTTTTGCCCCTGAGACTCCCGATCAGCCACCTGGCACAGGGAACAGAAGCGGTGGGGCCTCAGCCAGACCCCCGTGCCAGTCCACAGAGATAGCTCTTCAGACCCCTTCTTCAGCCTCCACCTCCTCTTCCGGTTAGTGTCCCCTAGAGCTGGGCTGCAGTACCACCCTCGGCCAGTAGGCGTCCCTTCTGGCCACGCAGCACAGTTCTGGGATGTTAGGACCTGGGAGGCCTTTGAGGCTTCACTCAGCCCCTCATACGGGAGGCACCTGTGGCCCAGAGAGGCTGTCACCAGGTCACAGCCCCACAGTGGGCTGAAGGCAAAACTAGGGCGGGAACGCGGAGTCTGGAGCTGCTTTGAGTCTATCTTGCCCCGAGTCCCATGCCGTCCTTGCCGTCCTCCGCCCCGCACAGGTCGGACGTGGCGGCGCTGAAGCGGGAGCTGCAGGTGCTGTCGGAGCAGTACTCGCAGAAGTGCCTGGAGATCGGGGCCCTGACGCGGCAGGCCGAGGAGCGTGAGCACACGCTACGGCGCTGCCAGCAAGAGGGCCAAGAGCTGCTGCGCCACAACCAGGTGAGCCTGGCCCGGGGTGGGGGGCTCCGGGGACGGCGGTCCATCGTCCCTGCGCTGACCGTCCCTGCCCCCCAGGAGCTGCACGCCCGCCTGTCAGAGGAGATCGACCGGCTGCGCGGCTTCATTGCCTCGCAGGGCACCAGCGACGGCTGTGGACGCAGTAGCGAGCGGAGCTCCTGTGAGCTGGAGGTGAGCGCCCACCCCTGTGCCGGGCAGCCTGGCTGGTTCTCGGGGCCCCGACAGGCCGGCTGTGCCCTGCGGCAGGGAGTGGCATTGCTCCACGGGGCTGGGCCCCAGGGAGGAGAGCCCTACAGCCAGAGTCCAGCCCTCCCCTTCGGGTCCTGCCCCCTCCAGCATCTCCTCTGTAGAATGAGGCTGGCACCCCCCTTACTGGGAGAGGCTGGAGTGAGAAAACGTGTGTGATCCTAGGATCACCCTCGTGTTTTATTTTATTGTATGAAAATTTATATATGGCTCTACTCTGTCTGGAACTTCTGTAAGTCCTTCATATCTGTTAACTTCTTGAATCTTCGAACCAGCAAGGAGAAATCAGAGAGGGCTTCCTGGAGGAGCCTGCCCATGGGGTGCGGTGGGTCTTGGTGCAGGTTGGGGGTTGCATCTTAGGGGCCTGAGGCAGAGAGAGCCAGGCTGCAGGGTGCCGTGGGCCGGGGTAGCCCTGGCCTTTGGCCCTGGGTCAGCCTGGCGCCCATGACCCTAGGTGCTGCTGCGGGTGAAGGAGAACGAGCTCCAGTACCTGAAGAAGGAGGTGCAGTGCCTCCGGGATGAGCTACAGATGCTGCAGAAGGTAGGGCCTGACTGGGGGCCACTGGGGAGGGAGCCTCTGGACCCACCTGTGAGCGCCTGCTCTGTGCCAGGCACTCTCCTTGCCTCCTCATGTCATGGCTCTCCTCGGGCCTCTCCCGAGGCCAAGGTGTCCTTGTCCCTATTTGGAGACAAAGAAACAGGCTAAGAGAGGATAAGTGACTTGCCCACGGCCACACTTGCTTTTATTTATTCGGCAAATTTTTATTGAGCATCTACTGTGTGCCGGGCACCGTGCTAGGCGCTGGGGAGACAGCTGTGAACAGAAAAGACCCAAGTCCCTGCGGGGTGGAGCATGCGTCCCAGTGAGGAAGCTGCGTGGCTGGCAGTGGGGAAGGGCCCGGATTTGGGTCCAGGGTTGTGAGCCTGGCCTGCCTGGTGCCACGTCCCTAAGTCTTTTACATCCTCTGTGAGCATGTGTGAGTCAGACTCATGGAAAGGGCCCAAGGCTTGGGCCAGGCCGACCCGGTTCACATCCTGGCCGCTCACTGCCGAGTGGCCTTTGCCTCCCTGAACCTCAGCTCCCGTCTCGAGAGGTGAAAATGATCCTGGAGGCTCACTGGGCCGTGCTGGGAGGGTGTACTCAGGGCTAGGGGTTGCCGAGGGGGCACCCCAAGAGACAGGGCCGTAGGGCCGTGCAGGGGCCTGGCTGCTCTGTGCCGGCAGAGAGCGCCGTGGGCCTGGGCCAGGTAGGCGGGGCCAGGTCGGGTAGGCCTCGTGGCCTCACGGCCCCTCCACGCCCTCCCAGGACAAGGAGCGCTTCACTTCGGGAAAGTACCAGGATGTGTACGTAGAGCTGAACCACATCAAGACACGGTCAGAGCGGGAGATCGAGCAGCTGAAGGAGCACCTGCGCCTTGCCATGGCTGCGCTGCGGGAGAAGGAGTCGATGCGCAACAGCCTGGCCGAGTAAAGGTAGGTGCCGAGGGGTGGGCACGGCCGAGCGGGGGCGAGGCCAAGTCGGGCACTGGGCCTGGAGGTGCGAGCCCAAGGCTCATCCACACCCGACTCGCCGTGCCAGCGGGCCCAGGGCGCTTCCTTCTCGTGGCCTCTGTTTCCCTTTCTAGAATGGGGACAGCCACACCCGCAGCCTCATCAGCCCGCGGCCCTCCTACCCGCGGCTGGCTCAGCTGCGTCGGCCGCGGTGGCAGGTGCCGTGCGCTGGCCCCACCTTCAGGCCGGGCAGCGTGGCGCGCATCCCTCACCGGCCACAGCGCTCCTTCCACCGAGCTCCACACCTCCGACATCATGGATGGAGCCTGGCCCCCGACTTGGTCTTACGGCCATCTCTGATTTACCAGGCTTCGGAGCATTTTTATGGTGGCTTTCCTAATGCCAGGTCTACCTGGAGCTTCTGCTTTCTTTCTTTCTTTCTTTTTTTTTTTTTTAATTAAAAAAGTTTTTTTTTTAGTGTGTGTTTATTTTTGAGAGAGAGACAGAGTGCAGGCAGCAGAAGGGCAGACAGAGGGAGACACAGAATCTGAAGCAGGCTCCAGGCTCCGAGCCGTCAGCACAGAGCCCGACGCGGGGCTCGAACCCGCGAACCGCGAGATCGTGACCTGAGCCAAAGTCGGACGGTCAACCGACTGAGCCACCCAGGCACCCTTAGAGCTGCTTCTTTCTGACCAGTCCTTGTGGACTTCCCGAGATGCGCAGGAAAGGCCACCCTGTGGGCCAGGCCCAGCGCCGCCCTTGCCTGGCCTAAGCCTGCTGCTCCCCGACTCTTGTCTTCCAGGTCCTGGTGGCCCAGCCCCGCAGCAGATGCCCCCAGACTGAGGGGACCAGTCAGTCACCCTCCTTCCTGCTGGATGGAAGTCAGAAGCCAAGCTTTCTCCCCGCCCGCTGTGGGCCGCACGTGCACTCGTCCCCACCACACACACGCACACAGGTGCACACACGCGCGCACACACGCACACACACACACACACACACACACATACACACTCTGCGTATCTGAGCGCGCCCCTCGCACTGGGTCTTACCTTTTGCACCTTCTTCAGGATTTTATATGTGAAGAGATTTTTATATAGATTTTTTTTCCTTCCCCCCCCCCACACTATTTACTTTGTTCAAAAAACCAATTTCTGGACGGCGGCCCCCCCTCCGTCCCCAGCCCCGGGGGGCCCAGGGTTTCGGGCCCCGGGCCCCGGCCCCAGGGGGGGGGGGGGGGTCCAGCAGGGGCGCAGCGGCGGCCACGGCACCGTTGACTCTGGTGGGAGAGGCAGGGAGCCAGCCAGCCACCCTCTTCCTACCCTACCTCCCACTAACTACTTCCTGCCCCAAGGGGACCCACACCTTGGGACTCTGGACAGAGGGACAGATGGGCAGAGGGAGCCGGCAGCTCCCTAAGGCTTCACCTCCTCCTCTGAGGGGGTGCTGGGCACGGAACCACTGGAGCCGCCCCATGAAGGCGTTTCTCTTCTGCTCCATGAGCCTTCTTAACTTAATAAAATATTCCCGCGGCTCTGGCGTCTAGGATGGCTGGGGCAGGGCGGGTTATGGAGGTTGGGGCTTCATCACCCTCCCCACCCCCCCCACCCCCCCCACCCCCCCTACTGGCACTCCTTCCTGAAGGTCGGCCTGGGAGCTCTGAGGGCGGAGTTGAGAATCTAGTTCCTCCATCAGGGCCACGGCTTTGCAGCGCCACGTGGGGTTTGCAGACCAGCCACGGCAGCCGCGTCACCAGGGAGCCGGTTAGAAACTCCCGAGTCCGGGCCCCGCCCCTGCCTACTGAGTCAGAATCCGCACTGTGACACGGACCCCCGGCGATTCATGTGCACCTCAAAGCCTGGGACGCCCTGGAGTGGGCGCTATAGGTCTAGGCCTTGGAGAGAGGAGGAGAGCTGAGGCTCCGTCTCTGACCTGGGGCCAGCCACATCCCCTCTCTAAGCCTTAGTTTGCTTTCCTGTCAAATGGTTGCCTTTCAGCCTCCGTCCTCTATTGAGGCTGTGCCCAGAGGTCACGTCCAGCCCTGGGCACGGTGGGGGCGGGTGGTGGACGCGGCCGCCCCAGGCCCACCGGGCCGGAGGCCTCATCCCAGCTGGCCAGCTGTGCGGCTCCCGAACCCTGGTCCCGGTTTCGCCAGCCACTTCAAGCCCAGCCCGGCTGTCCGATCTGCAGGGCTGTAGCGAAGGGGGGAGGGCAGGTGAGCTGGCCTCACCCCCCACGGCCTTCCCCATCAATCCGGGCCGGGCACCGGGGGAGGTGAACAAGGACTGACCCTGCCCCCACCGAGGGCACAAAAACAGGTTGGGTCCCGGAGGTCGTGGGCACCCAGACGGGACCCCGACCCAGCCTGCGGATCGGAGAGGGCTTTTGAAGGTGGCTTTGAACTATGTCTATTCTGGATGGAAAAAGCAGGAAGGGCATTCCAAGTGAGGGAACGGCATGAGCAAACGCCCTGTGAACATCCCTGGTGTGTCCAGGGCAAGACCCACAGGGGAGCAACCATGTGGGTTGTGGGGAAGATGTCCCATTCCCTGGCCAGTGATGGGTTTAGGAACGGGCCCGGGAGGCAATTCCAGCCAGTGAGTTGCGGGGGGGAGGGGGGGGCGGGGGGGAAGACTTGAGTGGGGGTGGAGGGTTGGAGGGGGTCATCTGGGAGGTGTTCCTTGCTCTTAAGAAAAGGGTACAAGAAAGGGAGGGCCTCTCTCTCCCCGCCTTCAGACGGTGTTGGGTGAAGTCCCCATGTCGCCACCACTTTGCCTCATCGATACGCTAAAAACGGCCGAGTAGAAAGAAGGAAAAACCGGGACCCCCGAGCCATCAAATCGTCCAGCCTCGGCACTGCCCTGGTTTGGGACTTCTTGTCTCTCGAGATACGGAGCATCCCTGAGCCACTCAGAGGAGGGGTGGCTGCACCTGGCTGCCCCAAGGTCCAGATGGTTGACACCAGATGAGCCCCCACTGCCCGTCCTCACCATACTCTGTTGACTCCCGCCAGCCCCCCTGACATCCCTCCACTCCGTCCTCTGCCTCCAGGACCGCCTTCGCCCAACCCGGGGCCCCCCCCATCTAGCACGTGGGCCGTGGCAACATCCTTCTCGGTGCCTGCCTCCCACCCACCCCTTCCTCGGCCTCCAGGACAAGCTGGACAATCGGGCCAACGTGGGAAAAGTGCTCCACCTCTGAATGAACGAGTAGATTGTGGTCCGTTCGTACGTTAGAATACTACACGGCGGTAAGAAAAGAATTGATGCTACACGCGAAAACTTGGGTGAATCTTCCAGACAAGGTTGAGTGAGGCAGCCAGACACAAAAGAAGACCTGCGGTACAATTCCGTTTATGTGAAGTTCAAGGCAGAACTGTCACTATGGTGACGGTCATCAGCACAGTGGGTGCCTCTGGGCCGGGGACGGACATGGGCTAGCAGTGATCACGAGGGAACTTTCTGGGGTGCTGGCAGTGTTGGAGACCTTGACCTGGGTAGGGGCCACGTGGGTGTATACACATGTAAAAATGTACCACGCCGTGCACTTGGTGATTTGTGCATTTGTGTGAATCGTGTCCCAAAAAAACCCCCCCAAAGACAAAAAACCTGGGGTTCCAGCAGGTGCCCGGGTGAGCTGCCCTGGGGAAAACCCAGTAACCTGTCTCACGGGGGAATTTGGCCAAAACCACGCGATGTGGCCGCAAGGTCCGGCCTCAGGCAGCCAGGGATGTGCTATGGAAAAGAGCACAGGCTGAGGTATCATGCCTGCCCGGGTTCAAACCCCACCTGCTGCCTCCAGCTGGCGACGTAAACCTCCCTGAGTCACATCCCTCCCTGGGCCGGAGTCCCCTGAAGGCTAAGTTGGGTTGGACATCCAAGATGGCGCCTTCACTCATATGTCTGCTGCCTCAACTGGGATGGCTGTGACAGCTAAAGGGAGCCCCTGGGCAGCTGTCTCCTCTTCTCCACGTGGCCACTTCACGTGGCCAGCTAGGGCTTGCTCACGGGATGGCAGTCTCAGGGAAGTCTGCAATGTGACTTCTTTCACGGTGGTTGACTTCCCCGAGAGAGAGTTTCAGGAGACCCAGGTACCATCTACAAACTTCATACGACTGAGGCTCGAAAGTGCTGTGGTGTCGCTTCCATCACATCGGTCAAAAACCGGTCACGGGGCCAGCCCAGATTCAAGAGGAGGGGACCACACCAGGGCACGAACGCTGGGCGCCATCTTTCTTCCCCACTCCTGCCGAGAACTCTGTGGAGCTGTGTCCCTCCGCCCGGCCCTCTGATGCCGGAGTTCCCCGGAGTCTGTCCCCAGCTCTCCTGCCACCTTCCACCGCTTCTCCTTGAATGCTCATCGTTGGCTCTTGGCCGTCTCCAGCCCAGACCTTTCTCAGGAACGCCAGACCTGAGCAGCCTCAGTCTGAGCAGCCTCACTGCCAAGGCCCTGTCTTCCCTCCAATCTGTGGCTCTTCAGTTAGTTACAGGGAGCCACAATCAGCACAGAGGATGCAGCAAACCCAGGCTGAGAGGTCAGGGGAGGCTTCTTGGAGGAGGCCGTGCTGGTGCTGAGCGGGACCTAGCTAGGCTAGGAGGGTGGAGAGCATATTGCAGGTCGGGTGAACATCGTGTTCAAAGGCACGTAGGAACGTAAAAGCCCATTCGGCTCCAGGGCCCTGCAGCCGCTCTGGTGGGGCAATGTCACCCCACAGTGGCCCCCCCCTCAGGAAGCGCTACCCCTGCAGACCCTCCCCCTCCCCCATCCTCCCTTTTCTCCCCTCTCCCCTGCTCTGAGCCCGGATGCCCCTCCCTCAGCCTGCACACACCTGCGGAAGGCACCCCCCCACCGGGGGGGAGGCGGGGGTGAGATCTCAGGCCCACGTCCCCTTCCACGTCCACGGGCCACCAGCCTCCATCACCTCCTCGCTCCTAGCTCTGCCATGCGCGAGTTCTCAGTTACAGAACTTTTCCGTGCCTCGGTTTCCCCGCCTCCAAGTTGCGGATAGCCGAGCGTGCCTCACGGAAGTATCGTGAAGCACCAAAATGAGCCAATCCACGTAAAAGGCTGAGAAGCGTGGCAGGGCCTAGCGGCGTCACGCAAGCATCGGCTGGTGCTGTCCCTGTGACGGTTGCCACCGTTCCTGGGGGTCACGGGGACTCCCTGAGACAACAGGAGTGAGACGTACAGCCCGGGGCCCGGAATACAGGGCGCGTTTCGAAAACCGCAGCCGTTGTTGTGCGGTCTGCAGTCAGAAGTCAGCTGGACGCCCCCGCCCCCCGCCCGCCCCAGGAGGGCTGCTTAAACTTGGTCCAAACCCCAATTCCAAGGCCCGCGAGCATCCAGACCTCTTCCTTCCATTTTGCCCGGTTCCCACCTGTCACTTCCCTCTCTCTCAGGGCAGGACGTGTTGCCAGGTCCGAGGCCAGACCCTTCAGTGCAAAAAATAGTCTCGGAGAGTGTCCCGTCGAGGAGCTCACCACGTCTCGCCTCTCGCGCCATCACCACCGCTGGCAGGCGGGGGAGGGCACCCGGCAGCCTGGGGGGAGTCCGGCCTGGCCAGCGGGTAGCGACCCTTCCTCCCCACTGTGTCCCGCCCTTGGATGCGGCGGTTTATCCTTGTTCATTCGCCCCTCCTCCCGTCCCCAGACGCTTTGCTCTTCCCCTCCCGTCCGATCTGCGCCCCATCGGCCTGGACTTTTTCTTTTTTGTCCTAAGATCCATTTATTTTAGGGAGAGCAAGACAGAGCACGAGCGGGGGAGGAGCAGAGAGACAGGGGAGACCCAGAATCCGAAGCGGGCTCCAGGCTCCGAGCTGTCAGCCCAGAGCCCGACGCGGGGCTCGAACGCACGGACCATGAGATCACGACCCGAACCGAAGTCACCCAGGCGCCCCTCTTTTTTTTTTTTGTTTTTCTTTTTAATGTTTATTTATTTGCGAGCGAGAGAGCTGGGGAGGGGCAGAGAGAGAGGGAGGCAAAGGATCCGAGGCAGAGCTCCACGCTGTTAGCGCGGAGTTCGAGGCGGGGCTCGAACCCACGGAGTGTGAGATCATGACCTGGACCAAAGTCAGAGGCTTAACCAGCAGAGCCCCCCAGGCGCCCCACCAGCGTGGGCTTTCTGAAACAGAGCTGGCGGTCGTTTCCCCTCACGAAGCCCTGCCCGGTCCCCTCAAGTCTTGGCACACGAGCCCCTCAGCCTGCCCCTTTGGACTCCCTGGGCCCCAGGCTTCCCCAGGAAGCCCCCTGCCGCCCCCGAGGGGGACCAGCCATGTCCTTCCCTGCTCTCTTCCACACCTACCTGCCCACTCCCTGCCTCTCCCCTGGTAGAGCCGGGACTTGGAGCAGTCATCATCTGCCACCTCCGGGAAGCCCTCCCAGATACCCCAGTTGGGGCTGACTGACGGCTCTGGCTTCCACAGCTCCTCCACTGGACGTGTTCTTTCCACGTGGCTCTCCCAGACTGTGAGACCAGCTCTGGTCCTCTTCTGCTTCCCCAGGGCCCAGCACAGAGCACACGGAGCCTCCGCCGGAGG